CCGCGGCCAAAGCGAACACCGTTCGACGTATTAACTCCCGAGAATACGTTCGGCGCCTCCTCTCCCTTCAAAATAGGATCCTCCGGTGCCGCTGGAAAATCTCTCAACAAGACGAGTCCCAAGGCTAAGGAGAACTATGAAGTCCCTGGAGGATTTAATGGTTAGTAGAACGCAAGCCCAAATTCCCCTTACCGCTAATTTCCTTTCCAATAAGCTCTTTTATTACGGTTCTAACGGGGTTTCCAATCGGTCAAGATGATCTTGCATCCGAGGTCTCGCAAGGCACTAGCATAATATTTAGTGATACCCAGGGCTTCTTCGCCTCGTTGTTTTTGTTTGTTTTAACTTTCGCGCTGGATGTTTTTGCGTACTCCATGGCTCAGCACGAGCCGGAGTACGACGAGCTGGAAGACGGATGGGGTGTATCAATATGCTATTTGTAAGATCATTGTAATTCGGAGTCCTATGGTGAGTTGTATACTTAAGCTGTCAGAGATCAAGCACTAACCACATGAATTTAGGTTGTCTATTTGTAAATGTTAGTTTATGTCTTAGCGTCAATGTTTATTTATTTTTGGAAGATTCCAATAATGTATCAAGGTGATCACATGTATGGGCCCGAGCAGCGTCATGCTTAGATAGTAGGTTTGTCTGGCCCCGCTTTACAGACAGATTTTTTTTTAGTTCTCTATCGGTTTTTATATCTGTGTAGAAAGAAAGAGGGAGACCAGGACTAGTGTGAATATAAGAAAACAATGCGAAAAAAAAAAAATTGGAAACCCTCGAATCATTGCCCATCAACACCTAACACCCTAGCTTCCCAAGTGTCTTTAGGTCTATCAAACTTCTGTCAAATGCGTGACCAACCCGGTTAATCTCGCAATCCCACCGTCCTTTGCATTGACATCCGGATCCCTCAGGTCTTCGTCATCATCAATTGGCACAGGTTTTAGCATACCAGTCGCTTCATCACGCCCCCATCCCTCAGCGACTACCATTGCGATTATTGAGCTCTCATTCTCATCTGTTCCTTCTAAGCCTAGAAAGATAGCTGTAGATTTGAGCGAGATGGCCGTGTATGCCCTCGACAAGAGAATGAAGGTCCTACGACGAAAGTACTTTTCGAATCGAGAAACCAGAGGTGTAAGAACGCCCGACCAAGGTGCTGACGAGAGGGTTGTGTAGATACTTTGGTATGAGCGCGTATAGAGTGCTCGAAGGAGGGTGTAAGTGCTTATGAGGAGAGGGTCCGACTGGAGGAAACCAAGTGGGATGCGCTTTGAAAGGAAACGAGCTTCGTTACTGTATATCATTAGTATAAGATTGAGAAGCGGAGTGATAAAATCTTACAGGTCGTCACAAAGAAACAGTGAGAAGAAGTAAGCGCTATAGTAGTTTGAGATAAGCTCGCTGGTTGAGGAGTTGAGTGGGCAGCTACTAGCTGTAGCTTCCAAGTCCGCGAGGAGATCTACCAGAGCTGCTGGTGAGAGATTTTGATCAGTGACCAGGGCAGACAAATGTTCGAGATTCAGCCGTGCGTCCATCGTTAATCACAGACGTGGTGTGCTTTCGGACGAATTTTGAGATGAGTTTATGTTTATATGGCGGGGTGTATCTCAAATAGCGCTCAGTGGTGGGGGAGCAGTTGAGGCTGACTCCTTAGCGCTGTCTTGGCACACGTGCCGGATTCGCGAAAGAGACACCTAATGGTTAGCTGCCGAGAAGACACCTTCAGGTTTTGACCCCCCAAGTGAGGGAGCTCTCTTTCAAATTCATACTGCGCTGCTCAACTTGAGCAATCAACCTTCAAAATGTCGTCCACTGGAGCCCCAAGTGTTCTTAAGGACGAGTCAACAAGAAACATCCGTCAACTTCTAAAAGTCGTTATTCTCTTTACCATTGCTGGCGCTGCTGTGTCGAGTCGTCTATTTTCTGTTATTCGTAAGCTTTCTCCTCGGTTTTAGAATTCTTGGACACCTGGACAAAATTTTTCGATATAGGCCAATGCTAATTGAGACACAGGATTTGAAAGTATAATTCACGAGTGTATGTCTTCTCTATCGCGACAATTGAATCCATTAGAAACACTTGAGGATACAATTAGGTGTCCTTTTGAGTGAAACAAAGAGCTGACGACGACAATTAGTCGACCCATGGTTTAACTTTCGCGCATCAAAATATCTCGTCAAGAACGGATTCTACAACTTCTGGGATTGGTTCGATGATCGTATGTAGTTTGTTCTTATGTATAAAAATGTTCTATTGTGGATTAACATTGTAGTCTAGGAACATGGCATCCTCTTGGTCGTGTCACTGGTGGTACTCTCTACCCAGGCCTCATGGTCACCTCGGGCGCTATTTACCACATACTTCGCTTCTTGACCTTCCCTATTGATATCCGTAATATCTGTGTTCTTCTTGCTCCCGCTTTCTCGGGCCTGACGGCTTTTGCGACATACCTCTTCACCAAGGAGATGAAGGATGAGTCTGCCGGTCTTCTTGCCGCGGCTTTCATTGGCATTGCACCCGGTTATATCTCCCGTTCAGTCGCTGGTTCCTACGACAATGAGGCGATTGCCATTTTCTTGTTGATGTTTACTTTCTACCTCTGGATTAAAGCCTTGAAGGTCGGAAGCGCGTACTGGGGTGCACTTTGCGCCTTGTTCTACTTCTATATGGTTGCTGCTTGGGGTGGTTATGTTTTCATTACTAATATGATCCCCCTTCATGCCCTGGTCTTGATCGCCATGGGAAGGTACTCGCCAAGGCTCTATGTTGCGTACACTAGTTGGTTCGCTCTAGGGACCTTAGGAAGCATGCAGATTCCGTTCGTCGGGTTCTTGCCCATTAGATCTTCAGAGCACATGTCCGCACTTGGTATCTATATCCTCATACCTCAAAGTTATTGTTTGGTGTCTAATCTTCTCTTCCTACGACAGGCGTCTTCGGTCTTATCCAAATTGTTGCCTTTGTTGAATTCGTCAGGGAACATGTTCCTTCTCGCCAATTTCAGACTCTCTTGAAGTCATTTATTCTCATCACCTTTCTCGGATCAATGGGAGCTCTTGTTCTTTTGACTCTCTCTGGTGTTATCGCACCATGGTCTGGGCGCTTTTACTCCCTTTGGGATACCGGATACGCCAAAATCCACATTCCTATCATTGCCTCTGTCTCTGAACATCAACCTACTGCATGGCCCTCATTTTTCTTCGACCTTGAAATGTTGATCTGGATGTTCCCCGCCGGTATTTACATGCTTTTCAGCACTCTCGAGGATCATCACGTCTTTGTCATCATCTATGGTATCATGGCTAGTTACTTCGCTGGCGTTATGGTTCGTTTGATGTTAACCCTAACACCCGTTGTCTGTGTTGCTGCGGCCATTGCATTGTCAAACATATTAGACACTTATCTCACTGTCAAGACTCCTGAGATTCCAGAGGCTCTTGAGACTGCTTCCGTCGTTGATGACGCTGCCGATTCAGCCTCTACCACCGCTGTCCCCAAGGCGCAAAAGAAACGCACTAATCTTCTCAACTCAGCCAAGGGAACAATGGTCGGAATTTACTCCAGCTGGTCCAAGCTAGTTGTCGTTGGTGCTTTCACTGTTTACCTGTTCATTTTTGTCTTGCATTGTACATGGGTCACATCCAACGCCTACTCTTCACCTTCCGTTGTGTTGGCTTCAAGAGGGGCCGATGGCTCGCAGCACATTATTGATGACTACCGTGAAGCATACTACTGGCTCAGGAAAAACACCCCCGATGATGCTAAGATCATGTCATGGTGGGACTACGGATATCAAATTGGCGGGATGGCAGACCGCACTACTTTAGTTGACAATAATACTTGGAACAACACACATATTGCGACGGTTGGGAAAGCCATGAGCTCCCGCGAGGAGGTTTCATATCCAATCTTAAGACAACATGACGTTGACTACGTTCTCATTATCTTCGGTGGTCTTTTGGGGTACTCTGGCGATGATATCAACAAGGTATGTTTTATTCCTTTGAATTATCTTTCATGTCTAACACAACACAAGTTCCTTTGGATGATCCGTATCGCCGAAGGTGTCTGGCCAAACGAAGTCAAGGAGTCCGAATTCTTTACCCCCCGCGGTGAATATCGCGTTGACGAGCACGCAACTGAGACCATGAAGAACTCTCTTCTCTACAAGATGTCATACTACAACTACGACCGTCTTTTCCCCGCAGGCCAAGCTCAGGACCGTGTTCGCAACGTTAAGCTTCCGGCAAAGGGACCCGAACTAAATGTCCTTGAGGAAGCCTTCACCAGTGAAAACTGGATTGTAAGAATCTACAAGGTCAAAGACTTGGATAATGTTGGCCGTGACCATGCTGCGGCAAACGCGTTTGCCGCAGGTAAGAAGAAGGCCAAGCGAGGCGGTAAGGCAGCAAAGGGCGCGAACCGAAAGCTAAGGGTCGTGTAGACTATTTATTTGTATTGAAATGTGACTTTTCTTCTGTTTTTTTTTCTGGATTATCTATCCTATTTTATAGGGTTGGGGATTGGGGGTCTGGGGTTTTGACCGGGTTAAAAAGATCAATGATTCCCTTGTTTTTTATTGTGGGTTTGATTTAGACTACAATTGTATGAAGACAAAAATGTGGGGAGAGTGATGGAAAGGGAGTTTATCTCAATGTACTCTATCTTTTTGCACGAAGTAGTGGAATTTCAACGCGTTAGGTTCCAAACAGGAGACTAGTAGATTGATTTCAACAAAAGATGGCCCAACAAACGTCAAATCTCTGCTTCCTCTTTTCCAGGATAGCACTTGGGTACTTGGTTCTTCATTCAGAGTGTAATTGAGATTATGCGAGTGATATGTGATGTTCATACATGAGAACTGAACATGGAGCACGGGCCAACCAACCAACCAACCAACCACATACTGTGACATACATAAGCCTGCATCCTGGCCCCTTCAATCGGTCAATGCTCTAACACCCATCTACAACCCAACAAGACCAATTATAATGCCTCCAATTATAATCAGCGACAGCGACAGCGAAGAAGAGGACCGCAAGCCTGAATTGTCACCACCTCGCCGTCCCCTTATAGATCCCTCTCTTGACCGTGAGATCAATGAGCTAAAGAAACAGGAAAGCAAAGACAAAGACGAGCGTTCAGAATTGCTCTCCCGGCTTGATAAGGTCAATAAGAGATTGGAGAGATCTCAGAAGCGAAGATCCGAATTGGTCGAGAAAAAGAATGCGGCTTTGGATTTGGTTCCTAAGGAAGGGGAACCTCAGGGTCGGAAGACAGTCAAAAAGGAAACCAAAGTAGAGGTCAAGAAAGAGGTGAAGGAAGGAAACAAAAAAGAGGCCAAGAGAAAGGGCAGGAAGGAGATTGAGAAGGAAAGCCTGAGTGCTCGGGCTCCAGATACTCAAGTGGCTCGGGGTTCTATATTAGAATCCCGAGCTGATGTTGATAATCGTGCTGGCACCCCGGTAGTTCCGCGGGCTGTACGGAATTCAATAGTCAAAGAGGAGTTCAGTTCCGATTCAGAGAATGGTGTTCCGAGGTTCACTGTAGCACGGTCGGAGCCAATGAGCCCACCGGCAGTTTCACGGTCGGAACCAGGGAGCTCTCCGGTAGCTTCACGGTCAGAGCCAGGGAGCCCGTCGGCAGCTTCGCGGACTTCGAGACAAAGCACACGGGCTTTGAGTTCAATATCACAAAGTCATCCGCTTGATTCTCAACCCGCAGCACCAGCATCAGCATCAGCATCAGATGATGGAATCGAGATCTACGAGAAAGTTCGACCCTGGGCAAAGCCCACAGAAGATAACGACCAGATTGCAGCCTCTGACGCTCCATTCAGGAAGTTTGGTGCCAGCGAGATGATCAAGATGTGGCCTAAGCTCAGAATCCCAAACCTGCCTTGGCCCACCACCATGTTTACGCGTAGATTTTTATCAAAGGTTCTTGGAGGTGGTGAGCAGATGGTAGAGTGTGTTATTAGTGCAGCGAAACAAAGGACCCAGATATACCCTATCAAAGTTTACTACTGTAAGTTAGAGCGCTTGCTATTGATGTGAAAAAGGTCCCGAGCTTATTATCCCTAGGTGAACGAGCCGAATGGTCTCCGGACATGCCCTCAGAGCCTGGTGCCCACGGCGTAGTCTATGCCACCGCACCCGACCCTAGAGACTCCGATCGTCCAGTAGACTTTAATTATTCCAGTTATGCCGTGTTTTGTAGGCGGGCTGCTAATAAATGGGATTACTGCGGTGAATATGAAATCACAAGGCGCAAATTCATTCCTGGGGAATGGGGCAGAATATCAGAGGTTGCGAAGAAATCATGGTCCGAGGGGTTTTCTGGGAAGACGGGGAAGAAATGGGGTATCAACATCCTGATGAAACGTGGGCTTCTAAACCCAGGCGACCCCATGCCTTCTCCAGAGGATATCATTGCGTTAATTGATCAAGGGAGGTTGCTATTAGAGTGTCAAATTTACAAATGCGTGGATTATAAGCTTGATTTCTATGAAACACTCAAAGAGGCTTGGCTAAGAGAGATAGAGATCGACCAGGAAATAAAAAGGGAAGAGGAGGAAGATGAGGAGGGTAGAGGCATAAGACTTCCTGAAAAAAGGAAAAGGAGATTAACCACTACCACAAGGGTTCCCAAAAATACAGAGGAGGAGGAGGAGGAGGAGGAGGAAGAGGGGGATGGAGATATAAGGCTCCCTGTAAAAAGGAAAAGGAGATCGACTACTGCCAGAAGGGTTTCCAAAGATACAGAGGAGGAGGAGGAGGAGGAGGGCGAAGAGGCGTTGGTGGAAAGGCAGGAAACGAGAAGGAAACGGAGGAGGAGAAGGAGAACTGACGATGAGGAGGGGTATGACGATGATGAAGATGAAGATTATACAGAGAACTAAAGAGCTACAGCGGAGCCTAGTTAGTAGTATACGGCTGGGAAGGTCACATAGTGTTCTGCTATCGAGAATATGCTTGTATAGAGCACAGCCCCGCTCATATCTACCTAATTGAAAGCAAAAGATATGATACTAACAAGACTCCACTGTAACGTCAAATAGTCGCTCGCTGGGTACTTTGTGTGTCCTATAGTTGTTGTGGATGCCTCCGTAAATTAAACCAATTAGTTATGTATGCATATAGCATAATAGGATACCAAAGTCCCATCTAAGCATCGGGTTTGGATAATTTTTAAAGTTCAAAGTAGTCGAGTGAGGAGCTGTGATTAAAGCCACTCGCCGTGGAACGCTCCATAGATTTACTGATTATCTACCCTATAAAAATCCCCATTATTTACTAAATTTCTTTCCACCCCCAGTTTTACCGGCGGGTTTGCCACTGGACTTGGACTTGTCCCCCGACTTTTTTCCGCCCTTGTTCTTCGAGTGTTGGGGTGGAGGCTTCTTTTTCCCACCCGCCTTCTGGGCCATCTTCGCCTTCTTCTTCATTCCTGCCTTTCCAAGTTTCTTCTGCTCCTTTCTTGCGTTAATATTTTCCTCTCTCTTTTTCTGCCTCACCGCAATCCCCTTAGCTACCGAATCCTTTCTCTCTTTCCTACAGTACGTTAGCATTTCTCCCGAAAATCAAAGAAAATTCAGGACTTACCATTCCCTCTCGCTCTTTTTCTTCTGCACCGTCTGCCTCTTCAGTGCCTTCTTGAGTAGCTTTTCGTCATCTCTCACCTTCTCGCCCGCTGTCTGCTTCAACGCCTTACTCCACATCTCTTTCTCATAGATCTTTTCCCTCTTCTCCGGATCCATTGTTTCTAGCCGTGCTTTCTTCGCCTCGACTTGCTTAAGCTGCCCCATCACATCCGTGGGTCCCTTGCGTTTGCGGCTCTTCTTGAAGTCCGACATTGTGTGATCCAGCTCCTGGCCGTCGTCGAATGTAACGGCGCCAAACGTGAAGTTGTTTTCGGCCTTTTCCATCTCTTTAGGTGTCATTGGTGGTGGGCGGGCCTGTGGAGAAGTGGGCGAGTCAGGTGAATCGAGAGAGGTAGACTCTAGTTTCTGAGCGAGGCGGAGTGTCTTCTTGCGCTCTTTGCGGGCCTGGGCCTTTTTTTCACGGGCTTCGAGTAGAGCAGCACGAGCAGTTGATTTGGGGTTTCGGCGGGTGCGTAGGGATTCTATATGAGCTGCAAGTCGGGCACGAGCTTCCGCACGGGCTGTAGGAGAGATGGGCTCGGTAGGTTGCGGGGGTGTATCAGTATCCTCTGAGTGTGCTGCGATATCGCCGGAGGGCGCCACAGTAATTTCTGAAGGGTCTAAAGAGATTTTTATAGAGGTTTCTGTCGATACATCTTCCTCTGCACCTTCCTGCTCTACAGGCCTCTTTTTTATGGGCCCCATCTTCTTTGCGGTTTCCTCCTTAGTCGTTTCCTTCTTTGTGGAGACATTCTTTACAGGCGTCTTTTTTTCAAGCGCCTTCTTCGCGAGCTCCTTCTTTCCGGACCCTGATTTCTCCTTTTTTCCAGACTCTGTCTTCTCAGCTGCATCATTACTCAGCTCATCTTTTGCTGTCGCCTTTTCCTTCTGCTGCTGCTGCTTCTTCTTCTGCTTTGAGTTGGCGGAGTTCTCTGCACTTGTATTTTCTACCAGCGGTGCCTCTGAAGATTTATCTTCTGGTATCTGCTTGGGCTTAGGATCCTTAGGTTTTTTCTGGTATACAGCTTCCTTCTTTGGTTCTCCGTTATCTATCTGTTCCCCTCGCACCGCAAGCTTCTGCTCAAGTTTCGCCTTCTTTGCCTTCTTTTCTTCCTCTTTCCTCTCTTGTTTCGTAAGTACTCGTTTCTGTGTGGATATGCTGTCAGCGCTGTAAAAAGATAATTGCGCCTGGTGGAAGTACCTCAGTTACCGGTACAAGCGACAATAGTCCCTCGAAAGCGTGGGAGTGCTGCAATATCCGGTCCTGTGCGCGGTTAGTGAGTGCGCAAGATAATTGACTAAGAGGAGTAGTACCTCGATGTCTGCCATTGGTGCTGGTGGGTGCAAAATGGAGAGTGTGAGGTTTGGATATATTTGTTGAAGGGTACAGGAAATAGCGCCCAGAGAAAAATCAACGAAATCTTGGCGAGCATGGATTACACGCACGTGCCCTAGTACATATTCTAGTCTACAAGGTAAATATTAACGGCTCTGCATACGGTAAAGGTCCAAAACATGTTGATTAATAGTATGAACAGATGTAGTCTCCATTTATACCTTCCTTTGTGAATGGCCCATCCCATTGATCAGGCTTGGGGTATGGGGGCTTATTCGTTAGGTATATGTAGTAGGTCGGAACAGCCCGGACGCCAACAGTGAACTGTGTCTTTGAGATGATTTGTAGTCCTTGGGGCTAATTTTGACAGGTTGACAGGCTATGACGTGGCGTCTGGGCCATTATATGTAGTCACCTTATTCTTCACGGGGTGTCACTCGGTTCTCAATCTAAACAAGAAAGGTCACCATTGGCAATCTCAATTCCCAAGATTGAATAGCAGCACCAAGCGGGGAAACGTGCTCTTAGTTATTGCCTTCCCCATCCTCGTGCGAGCGATCATTTATGATATCTCCATGCTTTGGACTAGGAAACAGCCCTCTTTATAGCAACTGTTATTATCAGGTAGACCTCCAATAGCTGAGAGCCTGTCACTTAAGAATGTGAGGTGTTTAATATGGGTTTAATGCACCGAACGCAGATTCTTGCATATCAATATAAAGATTTAGCCCCGTTTACTTACTAGCTAAACCACTAGAAGCCCTTGCACTTATTAACTCTAAACTTATCGGATAGCTCTATGTTTGCTTGAGTTGGATATTGATGGTACATAAGACCAACCTCTCCTGGTAAGTATTTACAATATATATTTAGTGCATATACCAACTCCGACTCTTCCGCACTCACTCAGCTGAACCTACCTACAAAGTTTTGGGCTCCCCCATCGGCGGTGCTGGTGTCTGCGCCGGTGCGGTACTCGACACATCCGGAGTTTCCTATTAACGTCTGTTAGCATATGACACAAAGCCTCACATCTCTACCACTTCAAAACCCACCTCCTCAAAGTCTTTCGGCGAATAAGCCGGTCTGTCTCCACTTAAGTCCACATCCGCGTCGGTCGCTGCGATAGCCTGTGCCTCCTGCCACGCATAATATCGCTCTGTGAGGGCATGCTTAATGCCCCGCTGCGTGTTTTTAATCTGCATAGCCCTTCTTCGTGCCTCGTGGGCACCTTCACCGGGCTTGAGGCGTTCGCGCTCGATTCGCTGCGTCAACATTATGTTGAGTTCCTTTGCGCATACCCACCACAGCTTATGGAGGTCTTCCCACGACTTTGCACGGAGTTCCTCAACGGTCCAGGCACGACCTGGGAGCGTGGTTAGGAACCGCCTCAGCCCAATTGTTGAATGCCCACATACCATGTTCGCTATCCTCTAACGGCGTCGGCAGCGCCTTCTTATCGGCGAAAAACCCCCACAATCCATGGTCCGGGTTGACCTCAAGTTTGTCCTTGTGGTCCTCCAACTTGACCGGCTCTGGTAACGGGAACTTTGCTGCCGCGAGGGCAATCTTCTTAGGGGAGCGTCGTAGAGCGGATACGCCTCGGAGCTTGGAGCGGTCGCGGTTGAGTCGTATAAACGCGGAGGAGGCGGTGGTTGAGAATGAGGTGGCATTGAGGGGGGTAGTGACCGCCCGGAGGCAGGGACGCAGGATGTGGTTTGACATGGTGATGTGGAGGTCTTAATGCGGTGGTGGGGGGTGGGCTAAGAAGTTGGAAAAGTTTGAAGAGCCGCAATGCATGCATGCCAAGATATTGGTGGGTATAATGGGTCATAGAGTGTCACTCGACAGGATCGCCAGTTAAGCCGAACTCGAATCTGGTGGCAACCTATGTAGTGTCCACCATGAACTATAACCCACATTATGGTGTCTTCTTAATGCCGAAATTCAATATAACTGCATATATATATCTATATGTAACTTTGATCGTTAGGATTGGGTTTTCGGGTATGTGGCACACCATAATATACGAAACCGATTTCTGCCTTATCTTTTATATTACACTAAAATTCTTGGTTCCAAAAAAGGGTCAATATGACATACGTATTTTACGTCTATCTAACTACATAAGTACATGTACGTCTAATGGTATTGTTACAGTCTGATATATAATACATGTATATGTAAGTAATACTCTAAAACTCCGACTGCTATTCTTTAACTTTATGAAACCAACTCCGCGAATAGCAAGCATGAACCACAAAACCTCCACGAGTGCTATATATATATACTGGAGTTTAAGATATACATACCCAGTCAAAGCACGTGTGCGTAGTCCATATGTTTCTGATAGAAACATCCTCTAACTAGTCGTTAAGAAGATCCTTTATATCGTCTATCCTGGCCTGTCTTTTCTCATCATCATTCATCATCCCCAATGACGACGCAATGAACTTCTTCTTTGCCTGTATCTTGTTGACCATTCTCTCTTCAACGCTCCCCTCAACAATAAACCTATGGACGATAACCTCTTGAGTCTGCCCCATCCTATGAACCCGATCGATTGCTTGCGCCTCTACGGCAAAACTCCACCACGGGTCCATCATGAAAACTCTCTTCGCTTCCGTCAAGTTAAGTCCGACACCCCCGGCTCTGAGAGATATTATGAGAACTGCAGCGCCTTCATATGCCCTGAAGTTATCAATGGCAATTGTACGTTGTTGTTGCTGCATTGAACCATCAAAGCGGAAGAATGTGATTCGTTCCCTTGTAATAACGTTAGAATATATATAAGCACATATTATTCACCTAACCGAATTCTTTACCTTTTTAACGCAGGCTCAATAAGATCAATGAAAGATGTGAATTGGGAGAAAACAGTGCTTTTTGTGTTTGGTTCCTCCTTTCTTAGCTGCTTTAGCTTCTTAATCAAAGCTTCAATTTTTGCCGATGACCTGGAATTAACCCGGCGAAGGGTTATCTCCAACGGCGACATGTCTTCTGTACTGCTGTCCATGGTTTTGTTCGGTTGATGCCGAATGACCTCGAAAAGATCTCGTTCATTTATCGCTTCGCGGCAGATGACGCACTTTGGTACCTCCTCTTTCTCTCTGCCTCTCTGCTATCAATTTAGAATCATTGCTCACAAGCGGGGTTTGGTGGTTCATACCTCGATCACATTCATCCAGCATTCTTTACAGGCCGCATGATAGCACCCAGTAACAGTCATATCATCCATGGGGGCCGAAAAACAGACTGGACATTCATGCTCTACCTCGTCCCGAATTTGCTTGAGTATTTCTACGCCATATATATTAGAATTTTCTTCGTTTTGCTGATCTGAGAACCGATCGATGAGTTCATTTAGGTCCATATCGTCACTAAAGCCCTTTGCTGCGTCATATGCGGCTTCAGCCACCAGTTCATCTTCAACGATCTCTTTTTTCCGGATCAGGGTCGGATGACAACATGATTGACGAAGCCTTAATATTTGCGCAAGGATACTAGTGTATGATTTCATGAGTGTACCTGCCTTTAATAGTTTAACATAACCCTTACACGTTACTAGAGAAATATAGCATACCTCAAGATTATGTGCAAGGGATTGTTTTGCTCGGTTTCGAAGATGATCATATACCTCTCTTTCAGCTCTCGAAAGTACAATCTTCTCGATAATGATTTTTTTAGGGGGTAAAGGAACCAAAGGCATCCCATCAGGCGTTCTCATCTCTTTGGTTCTCCTCAGTACAAGTGGTTCCAACACGGTTTGGACAACATCTAGAGCTCGTAGAAAATCTTTGGCCTCAAAAGGAACGGTGATGAATGTCTTCCAGAAAGAGAAATTGCTCCAAGGCTCGACCCGTAAAAATCTCACTAGGCTGAATAGATCTTCTAGCCGATTGACGATAGGTGTACCAGTTAGAACCCAGCGGTGCTCGGCGCTGAGTTCATAGCAAGCTCTTGCCGTTTTGCTTGATCTTCCTAGATGTTAATGTCATTCGAGGTCTGAAGATGGATCCATTCATTCACCTGTTCTTGATGTGGTGCCCTTCATCCAATATAATTCTGAAGAATTTTACTGAAAAAAGCCCGCCATGAAGCCCTCGATTACCACCCGTCTTGGAAATTTGTGTGTATTCCGAAAGAACAGTCCCATAACTCGTAATGATCAAATTCGGCGCAGTGGCAGCGTTTTCGGCACTACAGATGTTCTTCAAAGAAACCTTCTTTTCAGAGCCATAATAGATCAAAGTCTCGAGAGTACCGGGTTTTGAAGCTGCCTCTGCTTCTGACTGCCACTGGGATAACAAGCTCATTGGGGCAATGACAAGCGTTGTACATGGTGCAGGCTCCACCTCGCTCGATACTTTCCGAAAACTTGGCAATTTCTTCTTCTTGGAGGAAAATTGCAAGCTGTTCGCAAGGTCGGACTTATGGGAATGTATGAGACTAAGCATCTCAATTGTCTTTCCGAGACCCATCTCTAACCTTGGTGTTAAAATACTTCTTTCAAAAAAATTCAGAATTGACTAAGCATACCATCCGCCAAAATACCACCTAAACAATTTTGCTCCTGCCGTGGAAACTCGAGTGAAAGCTCACCAGAATACGGATTGACGTAGAACTTATCCTTACCAATAACTCTAGGAAGCTTGGCATCGCTTTCGTCCTTGATAGGCCATATATACTCTTCCCATAAAGGGTGCATGGACTCGTCATCCCGCTCAGAGATATTCTTCTCCTTGTTGAGAAACCAATGAAGTGCTTGCTTTTGATACCTTCGAAGGTCCATCGCAAATGTGTCTGCGGGCTCTGTCTCAGGGTAATCAAAATCAAATGATTGTGCCTTTCCTATAGATATGATAGATGTCAACAAAAGCTTACACATTACCGTGTACTCGAAAGGCCACAAACGGTACAATTGATCAAGTTGGTCCTGCTCCAACTCTTTTCCTTCTTCTTTTTCCCCCTCTGAGACTTCTTTGCCCGCGCTACTGGCCGCTTCGGGCCCAGCCGCTTCGTACTGTTCAGCCATCTCAGCAGCCTGTAGGATACCAGCTCTTTTGTGTTTGGTGGTGGTGGCATTTGTTGCAGACGGCTCGAGATCTATCTCCTGGAACAGCCTTACCAATGCTACCTGTCTTAAGCGCAATGCTTTCTCATCATCTGTCTCTTTTGCAGCAAAGGTATCTGCAGCGCGATTCGTATCAATTGGTTGAATGTTTCTTTGTTCAAAGCCTCTCCTTAGCATGAAACACCTCAATTGAATATTAATTGTATCATTTGTTCGAATTTTATCCGGTGCATATACGCATAACCCTTCGAATGAGCAAATATGCTGGTCGATAAGAGTAGATACGAAGGCTGCAGTGTCTTGCGGCAAACGCCCAACCTCTTCGCCCTTAGAATTGGTGAATCGAACTACAATATCTTGAGTTTTTCGTTGTCTCATCGGAGGATTTCTTCCGGGAGCAACTGGCCCTTCGCTTTCCGTCTCTTTCTTTCCCTTTGTTTTTCTTGCAGTAGCCTTTCTTGTAGCGGTTGTTTGCGAAGCTTGTCTTTGCCGTTCAATTCTTATAGATTCTCCATGGGAAATCATACCTGTGCCACTTTTTGTTGCCCAACCAGCGACGCCAAAAGCACCGATATACCTTTTCTCAGGCATTGATATCAAGTCTCCATTTTCGTGAACAGGCTCCACTTGAAGTAAGTTTGCAACTGATAAGGATTCTACGGATTTCGATGACTCCTTTCTTTTCCGAGATGGGCCAAGGGTTAACAAAGACCGAGGGGCAGTTGCAGTTTTCCAGGATCCATCAAAGTACCTGTTCATCCAGTTAGCTATAATTCTTTTTAGGAACTTGCTAAAATCTAACTTGCATATTAATGGCCCTCTCCATATCTCCACCGGACACATCCTCCAATCTCTTTAGTATGTCCGGCGACAATTCCTCTCCTGTGAAAGCGGTAAACACTTTTGGATCAAAATTAGAACTGGAGCCAGGCTTGGACCCATCCAAAATGGGCTCTCCAGCTATTTGGTATGAGGAAAGAGCTTGTGTGTCTGGATTGGTAGTAGGATCTGTCACAGGCTGAGCCGGAATTAGACCAGCAGTTTCGGCACACCGTCTACGTTTCTGTGGGGGAGAATCGGAGATTTTCATGGTATGTGGCGGTTGCATCTCAGAGCTTGCAATAAACACGAGAAGACGTGTTAAGCGCGGCAATTGGTCGCGTCGCGTTGAGCTTATCTAACATAGAAACACAATAGTCTTTTAGCTGCGCGAGTTGAACAGAAAGTCCAGCAGGTTGGACAGAAAGTCTGTTTTAGGAAGAGACTTGCAGTCGTTCAACCAATAAGATGTGCAGGACTTTTTGTCGAAGTGCTCCAACTCTTGCTCTATTGTTCCTTGTCTAAGAATCCCTTCCAACACCTCCTCTCCATATGTAATTGTACTCGTAATTTGATAGCGTCCGTGAACACAACTGGGTTGCATACCCGCCAAATCCTGCATGAGGCTCTAGATTTTGGTGTATGTAGACCCAGCTATGTTCACAAACGCTATGGAATTACGAGTACTTACTCTAGGTGCAAAGATGTACCTATATGTAGTACCGGGGGTTGTGGGTTAGTCTGACTTAGCACACTTTTTTGGCATATGATTGGTTCAAGCTGCAGAAAGTGATACTTGGCGCCAGAAAAAGTACTTGAATAGGCTGCCCCCCATCTTTTGCAACGCAACCTTCAAGACCGCAATTTGACTGTTGTTTTCACTCAGATTCATCAGAAAACACTCCCCACAAGGGCTTATGAGCTCACAATATTAGCTAGAGGAAGCTGGGAGCCAGTGCTATTCTGCAGTTATTTTTTTGTATTTTTAGCAAAATATTTAGATTTTTGAGTGAAGATATATGAAAGTTCTTTAGACTTTTTTCCCCCATACAAATTTGGTGCGCTAAGGCCGGTGTGATTGATGATAATTGGTTGCCATTCGTGGCTCCCATATAAAATCCCTGACTTTTCAACCAATGAAGTAGAGTTCTTCACATTAATGGTGAACACCCGGTACATGTACAGTATCCGGTAGAATTATTGCGAAAGTCAGAACTAAAAGGGTGGGTTTCTTGGCCCGTGCTCACTGCAAAAATTCCTTTGAGGGCCAATGGGACTATCGGGTCACGGAAAACCCACTTTCGCATTAATTCTACCAGAATCTGTATGTCCCATTATATTTAGCCATCACCACTTCTTGATTCGATCACGTGACCCCCGAGGACTTTGGCACAGACGTCATAACACTGATGACTAAGTATGCACTGTTACGAGGCTTAACTCTTAACACTGAATTGCACTTATCATCATGTCCCATCACTCATCTTCCTCCTTACAAATAACGAAATGCAACGATTTTATCAGCTAGACTATGAGAATTCAGATTGAATACTTTCAAAACTAATGGGAAATAGTGGTGGTTGTTTTGGAGTACTTGCTCGTTGGAAATTTACAGCCTCAAATAATGAGCAATAAGCATGAGTCAGGCGGGGTCACCCAGCGCGTCATATTCATCCCCCTACCCTATGAAGCTCCCAGTGTTGAATTGACTCAACAAAGGTGCGCTCAAAAATCATCAGAGCCCTCTATAAAGGTACCGACTCTTTTCCTTTTATCTCCCTATCACATTGATATATCTATTCCCCAGCATTCGTGCTAATTTGTCTCACCTTATAGACCAATGATCCTACGAATACTGCAGACCTCCAAAACCAAATCTTTCGGCTAATTGCAACATAAATATCTTCTCCAATAAAAACACCCCATCAACAACAAATCATGTCGAACGTACGAGCGGACAAGCAAATAGCACACGAAAGGCGCCGTGCTGGCGAGGTGGCACTCAGTGACTTTGCCGACTACGTTGAGAAGCAGACTCGACTACGGAAACCAGGTGGCGATATAACACACAATGACGAGCATGACGAGTTGAGCATTCTTGAGACATTGGGTCTCTCTGATGATACTCAACCTAGTGTAGGAATGAGGGATCTTCTTCTTGGCCCCCAGGAGGAGAATGGTCCCAAGCTCAAAGAGCTCATAGCTTCTAGAATTGCAGAAGGCCGAGGAGAGACTTTGTTCGACGTAGGGCTTGATAACACAACTGAAGAGCCTATGGGCTTTACTAAAGAAGAGTATGAGCTTGCGATGAAATCAGTAAAAGCCGCTGTCTTAGAGCTCAAAGCATCTATAACAGTATTGATTACACATAATTTGGGGCTTGATGGAGAAGAACCATCAGACGACAAGGGTGCTAGCTCAATGCTACTAATACGAAAACAGCCAGAGTCACTAGAGGACTTGCTCGAAATTAGAGTGGCAGTGGTTGGAAATGGTAAATATTTAATCTGGGTACTAAACGTCGAATAATGCTAAACAATTGCAAATTTATAGTCGACGCCGGAAAATCTACCATGTTAGGTGTATTGACCAAAAACACCCTAGATGATGGACGAGGGCGAACTCGTGTAAATCTATTCAGACACAAACATGAGATCGAGTCTGGCCGAACCAGCTCCGTTGGTATGATATCAAACAACTAATATTTTTCAATTCTAACTGTTCGGCGAAGGGATGGAGATTCTTGGTTATGACTCGGAATCAAACATAATCGGCAGCAATGATCCGGGTCGAAAGCTCAAATGGGAGGAGATTGGTAACCGCTCTGCCAAAGTGATATCCTTCACTGATCTTGCTGGTCATGAACGGTACTTGCGAACCACCGTTTTCGGTCTACTAGGAACTTCTCCGGACTATGTTATGCTTATGGTTGCTGCAAATAACGGTCTTATTGGCATGTCCCGCGAGCATCTTGGTATTGCACTGGCATTAAATGTCCCCGTCCTCGTGGTGGTAACCAAGATCGACATCTGCCCCCCACAAATTCTCGAGCAGACTATGACTCAGATCACAAAAATCTTGAAATCTCCAGGTGCACGCAAAATTCCTATATTCATAAAAAGCAAGACGGATGTTGTCAACACCGCCAAACAGTTTGTCAGCGAACGTATTTGCCCGGTCTTCCAGGTATCTAATGTTACTGGTCAAGGGTTGGATTATATCAGAACGTTTCTGAACATCTTGCCGTTTCACGGAAAATTCGACTCAAAGTCGTCGTTCGAGTTCCATGTCAATGACTGTTTCTCTGTGCCCTTTGTAGGAACAGTGGTTTCTGGTGTCGTTAAGAGCGGCGTGATTCACGCTGGCGATCCAATTCAATTAGGGCCGGACAGCTTGGGAAACTTTATACAAACAACTGTCAGATCTATCGAACGGAAACGGATAGCTGTTCCCGTCTGCTCTGCGGGTCAAAGCGCTTCATTTGCACTCAAGAAAGTCAGACGCCGTGAAGTTAGGAAAGGGATGGTTGTATTGCCTCGATCTGAAGTCCCTCCCAAAGCACATATGCGCTTTGTTGCCGAAGGTATGTCATGCTGTTTTAGGTCTAAATATCAAGATTGGTAGTTGACATACAGTTTCACTGCAGTCTTGATCTTGTCCCATGCAACTACTATCAAGCCAAAATACCAGGCCATGCTACACGTCGGTCCCGTCAGCCAGACCTGCCGTATTATTGACATAGATCGCGATCTTATGCGTACTGGTGACAGGGCTATTGTCGCTTTTGAATTCTGTCAGAGACCGTGAGTTCCTTCTTCCATGAATTTAGATTCTTGGCAATCATCTCACATGAGTTCTGTATATAGGGAATTTCTCTGTGTTGGTGACAAGCTTCTCTTCCGTGAGGGTCGGACCAAAGGGCTAGGTATAGTTAAGTCCTTAGACTATGATAGTACAGTCCCTTTGGTTAAAGAAACCTGATCTCTTTCCCTTGCAAGGAGAAAGTAGTTATCTTTTTTTTTCTTGATTTTAAACGTTGTGTAATAATTGATTTTGATTTGATTTTGATTTCTCTTCCCTTTTACTTGGACGCCTGGTACACCTGGTCTTATGTCCATTCTTTCATAAATGCATCTGTTGGTTATATTTGAGTCTTTTAAAATTCTTCTTGCCGCGTCAATTAAACACTAATGTACAGTACAGTTGCAAGTAGTTCTATGAATCTTTTGTTGTTCATGTCTATGAGATACCCTCAGCCAACCGTGCAGAAATAAGAAATCTACATGAAATGGTTAGAGGCCACTGGCCATACGAGGTAGATGCCTAGTTTAACGCCATTGATAGCTATATTCTCACTGTGGCACCGCAGATTAAAACACTTCTATGAACGGCGTTGAAATTGTCATGTCTACCATAGCTGTTACTAGCTGGCCATAGTATTAACCATTTTATGTGGGGATATATAGAGTAAAGGGTGATAGCTGTGGGGTATAAAAGCTGGAGGCGGGGTGTATAATTCCCAGACATGAAGGAATCATACCCAGCACGGAAAGCAGTGTTGGTACGAGAAAATTGGAGACCCTTAGTACTAGCTGAAATCTGCTATCCTAAGGAGCTACCAGTACGTACGGCTAGGCATAACCGTTTCTCGTTAGTATCGAGTGATAATTTATGACGGTCTTCAAGTGTTCTCTAACTTCATCGTTGAAGAAAACGGATCCCTGACCATGGATAGAAACCTCCCTACAAATCCTTCTATTTACTGCATACATGTAGCTATATATGGGCGACACAAATAGAGCTGTGGGGTTGAGCGAGACGCAATGGCGAGGCTTGGCGTTTTTTCCTTAGACGTATGTAGAAATCTTTGTGGGCCATCCCCCGGGTCTCGCCAAAACCTTCACCGCTCTAAACGGACGAAGTAGCCTTATAATTTATTGCCCTCGCGCCAAGAAACCATCAAGTTTCTCAACCGCATCTTCTCCTCTTCCCCGCCAAATATGGGATCAATTGTCTGGAAACTTAACTCCCAGAGTTGCAGGCGGGTCAGCCCGAAGTGTTGTGCCACAATTACATACTCGTTCGAAATGGTTGAACAAAAAACCCCCACGTCATCCGTCTAAGTACTGTAGTTAGAAAATAGCTTTGAGATGATAGAGTTTCAAGCCAGCTGAGTTATCTAGCAACAGAAAATACTAGAAAGAGACACACGATTACCAATATATTGATACCCGTACCCGTGCCAAAATAACCTTGGAGGTAAGTGAGGTGCGAGCGCTAATATTCTCCTTGCTGATTTTCTCTTACCAGAAACCTCAGCTGGCTTAAACACTCAAATCGAAGAAGTGTGAAAACATACGCATAGAATTAGGGGGCACTGCTTTTCCACCCACCAATCACGGAAATGATGATCTTGGAAGGATCCCGTTATCATTTTGGCGTGTACGTTGCATGAAATGCAAAGCTCCAATGCCAATTTCCTTTTGGATATCTCTGTGCGAATGGCATCTGAAACATGAATGACATGACCAATTCTGCCCGGTTTAAAGGAAAGAAGGACAAGCAATTCTTCGTCACTTGATGTCTTTGCAGCTTCTGCAAAGTGAAGCGTTACTCCTAGCCCGTTTTCTCGTGCTTTTGCAAAGACTTCACGAAATATCGTGACATCACCTTTCTGCAATCTCTTTTATTAGTACATGTAGTTAGAACTCAACATGCATCCGCGGTCTACAGCATTCTATACTAACCAAAGGATCGCCACAAAGATCAACTCCCACAACACCCCGATGCTTGTAGCGAATGGCTAAATCAATACATCCTAAAGCCTTTTGAAAAGAATCGCGGCGATCAACAGAAAGCAAAAGAAGGGTTTTCATGGAAGTTGATGCGTCTTTTTCGTATTGCTCGATGCTCTCAAGGACAGTCTCAACATATTGCTCCTTCGACATCCCGGTCTCTTTGAACTCTCGTGGAGTGGTACGAAGTTCTAAGTATGCAACACCATCGGCTTCAAAGTCCTGGAGAACTCTCTTGGTGGAATATCGGACACTTTGAACGTCGTTACAAAGCTGGTAGATATATTTTGAAAAAAGAGGGAACTTTCGAATTCCACGAAAAGTAAGCCCTGGCCACCATGATAACATACCAGGTTATACATATCATACAAATGTCTCGAGGTCATAGTCAACTTTTCCCGGTGGAATTACGATCATGGGGTCTTCCAGCCCGATACTGGGCTCTGCTTCCTTGCGTTTTTTGTATATCTCATGGAGGCACTCGCGAGTTATACTTCCCGATAAATGGGCATGAAGTTCCTACGTACAACACGATCGTCAGTCCTGTTTAGATCTTTGATAAACGGAGTTGGAGAAATAACAATCTTTGGTAGTTGTTTGCAGAAAACCTCTAGTTCCTCCATTTTGACTGACATGACGACCACTGCGGGCTGAGCCTTTTTTTGTTTTTACTACTGAGGTTTAGTTGGGAAGTCTCGTCTAGACCAAGCGCAAGCATACAGGGATGGGGGCGATGAGGCTAACAATGTTCTGGGGTTGGTTATTATTTATCCCAGGCACATACTCTTTCAGGAGGGAAGCTCCACATCGGTGGATAAATAGTTTGTCATCCGTCCCCATAAGCTGTGTTTAGCTTGGTCTCGCACTCCCACACTCCAGATGTAGAAGAGGAGGAAAGATACATGCAGCTGCTCTTCATAAGATAGCTTCAGAGAGATGAGGGCATTCCGGATATCGGTTGACCTCGGATTTAATCGGGTTGGTCAATATGTATAGGCTGTACCTACATAAAGTACATACCTACCACTGCAGAGCATAGGTGAATAGAGGACATAGCTTGTAGATCAAGCAAGTGCTCTACAGCTACATAGAATTCGTGGTACTTGTTACCTACTGGACGTTGTTCATGTGGGTACTACACACTTACTTTCTAACCAAAACTGTTTGAGTCTCGGCCGGCAAGATCTACACAGCCGCGAAAAAGTTCGCGTCTTCGTTTACAAGTGTGGGCCTGTTGAATCCCTTTATCCTTCCCGGTCGCTAATTCGCCCGTTCACACCTCGCTCCTCCCTTTGCATCTGCATCGCGACATCGTTCGCTCCCTCCCACCCTACCTTAACTCTTCTTCATCCAGTCTTCCTTCAGCCTTCCATCTGCATTCCTCGTTAGTTAGCTGCTGCTCTTCCTTCTCCTGCCATTTCCCTCATCCTCATCTTCTCTTCCCATTCCAGAAGAATCTCTTGTCAGAAACGTTTACTTGAACGGCAAGACAAGATTGAGTGCTGCAGCCCCCGTTACCGACATCCCTACACCAGCTAATTTCCCCTTTTCATATTCACCTTACCTCTTCCCGTAGGCACTAGGCGTCAAGCAAGACAATATTGCATCGCGCCAGCTGCTAAATTCCCAAGACTCCCAATTCATCCATCCATCCCCTTTCCTCCTTCCCACCCCCTCCCCTTCCCCGAATCTCATCCAACCAAACCGTCTTGAAAGACGTCTGTCAATCTTTCTTTCCGTGAGGCGTCGCTCGTGGGGTACTACTCTGTTGTTCTTTGTTGTCATAATAGTCCATTCGCTCTTTCTACCTTTACTTTTAATTTTTTTTGAACGAGAGAAAAAAACCTCAGCCTTTCCCTACCAAGCATACCTTCTGGGAAACAAAAGGTTTAACTTCCTTTCGCGACAAGCAAGTGCATTCCATTAACCTTCGGAGGAACAGCGCCGCTCACTCATCCAACACTATTACACTATACAATCATGTCCGATATTCAGGATAGAATCGCTGCTGCTAGGCGAGAGGCTGAGGGGCTTAAAGCGAAGATTAAGATCAAGAAGGAGGAGCTGGCAGACGCTGATTGTAAGCAAAATACACGATTTGAGTTCCATTTTATATTGAAGTGAGAACGGCGTGGCTGACCACTATTCAAAACTACAGTGCGCCAACTGGCGAAAGAGACACTTGAACCCCTACCACGTACCAATATGAAAGTCCGAAAGACACTGAAGGGCCATCTCGCAAAGATCTATGCGATGCATTGGTCAACAGACAGGAGACATTTAGTGTCAGCCTCACAAGATGGTAAACTTATCATCTGGGATGCTTACACCACCAATAAAGTGCATGCCATCCCACTCCGCTCATCATGGGTGATGACCTGTGCGTACGCTCCTAGTGGGAACTATGTTGCATGCGGTGGTCTGGACAATATTTGTTCAGTTTATAATCTTTCTTCAAGAGATGGGCCCACACGTGTTGCACGTGAGCTCTCTGGGCACTCTGGATACCTCTCGTGCTGTAGGTTTATCAACGACAGGAGGATCCTCACATCGTCCGGAGATATGACCTGTATGCTTTGGGACATCGACACGGGTGCCAAGATCACGGAATTTTCTGACCATCTTGGGGACGTAATGAGTCTCAGTATCAATCCAACAAATCAGAACATATTCGTTTCTGGTGCTTGTGATGCCTTTGCGAAGTTGTGGGATATCCGTACTGGAAAGGCTGTTCAGACCTTTGCTGGTCATGAATCGGATATCAATGCTGTTCAGTTCTTCCCTGACGGAAACGCTTTCGGAACTGGTTCTGACGATGCAACTTGCCGGTTGTTTGATATTCGTGCTGATAGAGAGCTAAACACATATTCGGTGAGAACACTCGTCTTTATAATACTTTTCAGTCGGGGCTAATTTCCGAAACTATTCTTAGTCTGATCAAATCTTGTGCGGTATTACATCGGTTGCGTTTTCGGTTTCAGGCCGATTACTGTTTGCGGGATATGACGATTTCGAGTGCAAAGTGAGTATTGGAACTTATTTCAACATCCCTAGCAACACTCTAAACCCTTATGTCCAAAAAGGACACTCTATCTTCAATGATTTCAGCCGCTAACGCGTTTCCCTACTAGGTATGGGATGTGCTTCGTGGAGAGCGTGTGGGAACCCTAACAGGGCACGACAACAGGGTCAGTTGCCTAGGGGTCAGCAATGATGGTATTAGTTTGTGCACAGGATCATGGGATTCTACTGTAAGTCTAGTGGTCCGGTCACTCCCAAAGATGATATCTAACCTTTATCTAGCTTAAAATTTGGGCGTGGTAATCCTCCATACGGCTATCAGGAACATTTTTTTTCAAAAAAACAAAAGGCTATTGATTGGATGACGAGAAAAAGTTGTCTCTGCTGGCAATTAACGAACTGGCTCGATCTATCACCCTCGGTATTTTTTTTTTTTTTGGTCGGGGAGTAGGAATTCATTGGCTACTATTTCTATTCGTTCATTTTCTTTTTACTTTATATCTTCCCCCATTCTACTTCTAGCAGCAATCATTAAGTCCTTATTACCTGTAACCTATGTTTTCCCACTTATGGCTCTCATTATTTGTCTTTGTGCGCGTTGCTAAGTTTGCTACGCCTATCATGTCCGTCGCCGAGCGAGTGTAGTACTGAGTAATATTTTTCCCTTTTTTTTCGAGCTGCAAGAGCACGAGGCCTCGGAGTTTTTCTTATCTTTGATTCCTTCATGTCAAGGCCGTTACTCTAAGTAGCCAGTAGTAGTAGGCATTTACAGTTGTTTGATCCTTCGCATAATTAGACAAACAACCTGATCGTGTTGAAATGCCAAAACCCAAAGGGACAGAGGATTGTCTATATATACCAGGCTTGCTATGGTCCGAGCAGAGCCGTTTGGCGTTCTAAAATAGCCTTTGCGCAAAGCTCCGGCAGTGCAGATGTCAAAGAACGCCTTCCGTACTGGTCTCATATTTCGTGATCGGGAATTTAGATTGCTGCGCGCCGACACTGTGCATTGTTTCTACCTGGCTTCTAGAAGGGCAATCCTGCACCATCAACCCCTGGCCAAAAGCCGCCTCTTCTTATTCCACTCTCCTTTCCTGTGGTGATAAATCCAATGCAGGTATGTGGTTCCGTTAACTTGGGGGGCATGCACCAGAAAAGTAGCTGGGTTATGGGGAAGGTGTTCAACAAGCACTTCCTAGGGTCTCCGGTACTGTAGTCAGAGATGTAGTTACAGAGTAAGGATCTCCCCAGCCAAATGAGCATAAAACGGGCAATGCATCCGGTTTCATAATTCCCTAATAACTACATGTACCAAGAAGTAAGCAAGCTTGAGAGAGTTCGAATGGAGCAGATTCATGCTGTTTATGAGTATGTATCTTACGATAAATTTCTTGGGAGACCCATATTATTTTCTGCATCACGATACTGAGAAGCATACCTAAATATATTGTACCTACATATATGTACATATGCAGTACTCTAGTTATCTGAGTTTTTCTTGGGACGGTACATGTATGTATGAGAGGTCGTGGCATGCCACATACCCCTGGCACCTGTGATCTTTTTTTGACAGGCACATCCTCCTGCACAAGCGAACCGACGGTAGGTCAACCCAAACTCGAAAAAAGCAAATTTGTGATCCTTGCTGAACAATGTGTGGTCAGCGTTTCAGAGGGGGGTTCACCGCATCATCATACATCCCCTCCCCCCTTTCTCATCCAATTGCTTAACTTTATCGCCTTAACCTGAGATCAAAGTTTGGGGTATCAAGGTTATAGTCTAGGCAGTTTGAAAAAGCTTCCTTCGAACCAAGCTACTCAGGCAGTGGTTGTTTCGGAAGATTTCATATTCGCACGAATAACGAAACAATTGTCAACACACATCCATAAACAACATACCGGCATAAATACCTACACATACATCAATTTCTCATCGTTCTCCCTAGATAGGTTGTTTACTATAATTTATTTACGGTAGGGCGCGCCACTACACAGCATATCTACTAACGCCCACGTTCGGTGACGTTCCTGCTTTCTAGCCCCCTGCCAGAACCTGCCAGATCCCCGCTCTATTCTCCTACCACACCACCGCCCCCCTTCAATTCTCCGCCCCACCCAATACTCATCTTCCTCCCCTTGTCCTCGTCCATCAAGTAGACACACTACACACTTCACCACCCAGAGTAATAAAAAAAGAAACAAACCATGGATGAGCTCGAATCAATTAAAAGTGCTGCATCCCCCGCCGCTCGCCGTCATCCAGAAGACGTCGACTCGGATGATTATAGTGACCAAGAAGATTCTCACTTAAACCACGAAAACGGAAAAGACGAAGACGGCGACGACGACGATCCAGAAGATATTGAAATATCTGCTGCAGGACTTTCTAGAGATATGCCATCCTTTAAGCATACATCGAAGCTTTCGCTGTCAGGGTCATTCCAGACTGTATGTTGACATCTTCCTCCTACCCCAATACTCTTCATTCTTCGCCTCTTGTATTGTGCCATGGCTAACCTTACTATTAACTTAGGGCGTTAAAGGAGTTCTCGCAGATGCTGTTTCTTTTGAGTCGGCCAGGCGACGGGAGCGTACGGCCAGAGCATCTCCGGCTCAATACGCGGGCTACACTGAGCCCGCAATGGCTGTTTCGCCTCCAAAACGCCGGGAAAGTGATGGGGAGAGCGGCAGTGACGATGATTTTGTCAAGATATGGCGGAAAAACCGATTGGCGGAACTTAAAACAGGTGTTGCGACCACAAGGAGGCAGTCTCCAAGTAAACGAAAGTATGGAAGGGTTGAAGCTGTGGATGCAGCGGGCTACTTGGATGCTGTTGAGCGCGTCTCATCAGAAACTATTGTTGTTGTGACAATCTATAATGATTCGGTATGTACACACCTGCTCAAATTTAACACATAGGCGAAAAGAAAGGGGTAAATTTCTTCCTTGAATGAGAGTTTCTGACGAAGAAAAAAGTCATCGGAAAGTCAGTTCGTAGAAGACTGCTTTAATACACTGGCCCGCCGCTATCTGACAACTCGATTTGTCAAGCTTCATTACCGAGAAGCCGAGTTTGATCCCGAAGTCGTGCCCGCCGTACTTGCGTACAAGGGTGGTGAATTGTTCGCGAACCTTGTCAGGGTCGTGGACGAGGTTCCACCAGGCAGAAGTTTGAGCACCGATAGCTTGGAGCTGGTTCTCCGAAGGTATATGACTTCCGTAGGCAAGAATCACGTAGTATCACTCTGCTAACTTTCGTTGTCACAAATAGAGCAAATGTCTTACACGCGGATTAGGGGATAGGCCTGGCTCTTCTACTTAGTAGATTCTGGACATAATGATATGAGATGGCAAGCTTAGTGTTTGAATCGGTTTTCTTTTTAGTCTTCGTTCTTGCTTTCGTTCGGTGTGGGGTTTTGTATTGTACTAGGGTACATATGTACTCTCGTTTTATTGTCTTCATATACTTGTTTTTTTTATTCTTCTGATATTTGGATACCTATGGCGCTATTGGGGCAGGGGCTATGTTTTGTAGTGCGTCAGGCACACCGGGTAGTTTTTCTCTTTTCACATTTCAGGGTAAAATATACTATCCCTTCGTATCTTAACCCCTTTGGACGAAGATTTAACCCTAGATGATATTTCTACATTACATTTGATCCCTCTGGCCTAATTTGAGGCTTTCAGATTCGAGATTATCGTATAAATCTCTGTCATATGCGATGAAATGGAGTCCTAGAAGCTTGAGACGCAGGTGAGGGAGATCATCAGGCTATAGTATAAATAGTTAGATTCTTCGCTTGAAAACGGGATCAAAGCCCAAAAGTGACGGCGGAAACTTATCCTCGGGGAGGGGTAGTAGATGGTTAATTGGTCGGACGAACCTGGTTAAAGAATCTCAACACCACCTTCCAATGTGCTCCTACACTCAGATGTTCCACTAATTTAAAGACTTTCTTCTTCACAAGGATGTTTTTACCCCAGTTGTGTTCCAGCAAATGCTCAGCCCATCTTCTTTGATCGCCTGGCGAAAATTTCTTCCACTCATCAAGACTAATCTCTTTAATATATGAGATTAAATATTTGCCGTAATATCTACATAAGTCAGTATAACTATTGCCTTAATATCTTCACATGGGTCAGTAGCTACTCGATATATTGGGCTAAACTCACAGCCAGTTATTACTCGTTTTCTTGATGAATATATGGTATTTTTTCCCCACCTCCTTCTTCAACCAATCAGCCACATATATCCCACCATCCAGACCCGGCGCCGTTGGGAGTAGGTGGTTTAAATCACGAATTAAAGCCATATAAGACCCTGCTTTATACCGTGTGACGCGGTTTGGATTGATATTGCACCATGTCCCCTGTGTTTTCCCGCCAATTAAATTTGATATTTCCATTCGACCAAAAGTCCTAGAGTTTGCAGGAATATTCAGACGATTTCCCGGAACTAACTGGGAGGCTGTAACGGGCTCCTCTATTTCGGAATCGCTATTGGAAGCCTCATAATAGGGAGTATATATCGGGCCACCAGCCTTACGTTGTGGAGTCCGACCACTCGCACTTGGTGCTACAGGAGTTCGACTCCCTACAGCATGACCTTCTGCAGCTCCAAGGCCACTTGGAGCTGTGAGAGCTTGACCCCTTACAGCTTTACTTTCGACCCTGGAGCTATCTGGTGTCGCTAAAGTTTGGCCTTGCGTGGTTCGGCCCTGTGTGGTTCGGCCGCCTATAGCTCTAAAGCCGCTCGCGAAACCATCTAGAGGTGCGACAGTTCGGTCCGCTGTAGTATGACCTTCTGCAGCTCTAGGGCCACTCGGGCTCGGAGCTGTGAGAGTTTGGCTCCCTACATCTTCACCTTCTGCAGCTCGAAGGTCATCGCCTGAGCCATCCGGTGTCGCCAGAGTTCGGTCCTGTGTAGTCCGGCCTTGTGTAACTCGGCCTTGTGTAGTTTGGCTACCTATGGCTTTAGAGCTGCTCCCGGAGCTATTTGAAGCTGCGACAACCCGGCCCACTGCAGCTTTATCCCCTGCGGTTCCCAAGCGGCTTTGAGTCGAAGAAGCAGTGGCCGAGGTTCGAGCTTCAAGTTTTATGGCTCGATTCCTAGCCCTTCTTTGCAATAGCCTTTCCTTCCTCTTCACAAGGCCATATTTCTCGTCGACAAGTTTCTCCTTCTTATTCCTAGATTCCTCCAGTCCATCCTCATATGTTTTGAGGAGGTTTGCGTATGTTTCCACGCCATCGCCGAATTCCTTTATCTCCTCGTTGGTCTTCTTCATCCTCTGTTCTAGCTCCTCCAGATCTGTTGTTACTAGACGTTAGTCGGTTTGTACCTATTTTGAAGCTACTTACTACTACTAGTAGTAAGTAGAGCGGAGTTTGTTTCTTGATGCTAGAGTGGAAATTGAAGCTCACCTCTAGAAACAGCTTGAAATTCTGGTCCATAGCTATCCTCGTCATCTTCGTCATCTGAAATAGGTATAGTATCTTGTATTTGCGCGAGTGTAGGCATGTTGTTGAGCTCATGCGAGGTGTAGAGTACATGTAGGTAATTTACGGCGTTACCAGTTTTCGTGTTACAGACAGGCTAACCATGTTGGGGAATGATCTTCGCCCGGGGGGGGGGGGACACACTATCTGGCGAAGTCTGGACAGCTGGACTGTCAGGAGGGTGAATGATAACCGTGGCTTTGGATGCTAAAGATCTTCAGAGGCTAATAATTGGAACCGTCAACTAGCGGCGTCAAAAAAACGGCGATAGTGTAAAAATTGTATCTACCACTAAGCTGTTCCTTTTTGGCAAATTTATAGTGAATCACAAGGGACAAAGGGTGATATCAAGTTCAATTACCACAACCCCAAAAAACCCTGGCCCGTGGGCCTCCCTACCACTACCTTTTATTTCTACTCCCCCACCGGATACGTAAACAAGCCCAATTTCTTTTTTGTCGTGCCCAAACAAACCACTACTGCCTGCTCTCCCCCGAAGCCAGATGCCCACAGAATGAAAAGAAAGAAAAAAGTGACTAAGATTACCAACTGAGAATAGAGATAGAGGGTAAAGGAAATAGAAGTTAAAGAATACGAATCAAGAACCAGGCGGGTGATGGATGGTAGTAATTGGGTAGGAGAGAGGGAAAAAAAGTATAACATATTGTACAAGACCCAGGCAGAAAAACTTCGCAGAAATTGCGCCGCGAAAATATCCAGTATCCTACTCCAGCCCACACCTACTTCCACTTCCGTCCCCGCCCGCTTTTCACGGGATCCAAGCTCGATCATCCTCCTATTGTTTTTTCTAGGTCTTGCAAGCACTTCCCCAATGTACTACCCCGTCAATTCTTGAGAATTATGACTCTGGCCGGTTCAAGTCAATCGTGATATTTTGGGGGAAGGGAAAGGTCTATCCGTTCAATTAAACATCGACCCCACATTCTTGGACAAACTTCCAGAGCATTTGTGTAAGATGTGGGGGTAGCGTATATAAATCAACATGAAATTCCCCTTGTTCAACATCATTTTTGATGTATGTATCGGGGGTTTTGTTGTCGTGCACCATTTGGACGACTTGGAGTAAATGCTCCTCCTGAAGCTTTTGCAAACCATCTGCCAGCTTCTCCATATCAAACTACAGTGCGGCGCGATAGGTTAGCAAAGGGGAGCGGTGTCTCTATGTTTTCGTCGAGGTTGGAGCTCTTACAGCACGCTCGCTTCGCGACTTCTTCTTAACCCTCTCCTCGCCGTCGTTCTTACGTTTATCGCGTTTCGTTACACCATTTTCCTCTGGCGGCGCTGAATCTGCGCCTGGTACGGGCCCAGAGAGAGCTAGTTGTTTGAGGAGGTTCGGGCGTGGATTCGTGAATGTCTGCGCAGAACTTAACACACAATGTCCAAGTGAATATTTGGGAACTACTCACCACCGTGTGGATAGATTCATATTTGTTCTTCTGAAAATTCAGATCATGGCGGATAGGGTGATCACCACCTTTGTCCACACCATGAAGAATAATCTCCATGTCGAACTCACCCCATCCTTGCTCGGAGAGCAGAAATGGTGGCTTTTTTAGAACTGCGCACATAACGTTAAAACAAAGATTTCTTTCCTTCAACCCTCTCCGCAAACTCAAACGCAATGGGTGTTTATATACGAACCCCTTGTGGGATTGGTGAAAGTCGGATGTAACTTATATGTTACTTTATCAAAGAGGCTCGCGGACAGTTCCTCCCCACCGGGTCCTAGGACAAAGATGCGAATGGACCATTCTCGCATCGGGAATCCATCGTTCGCGGCCACATCGGTTCTAAATATAGGGAAGGCTGTTAGCTCTTTTTTCTAAATAACTGCAATTATACGCGCAAGTAAAGAGAAAGCAAAAGAGTAGAGAAAATAGTTAACATACAGAATCGCCTGATGCGTCACAAGCTTCACTTTCCGAGTTACCTAGGAGTCGCCAAAGCCTTATTAGCTCCACGTTCAGTTTCGTCGCTCGTCTCTCCAAGCAATCGCGTGTGCGCGAATAATGACCGCGTGTGCGCGTCATTATTGTCCGCATTGCTCTCGATTGTCCTTCACTTTCCTGCCAGAGTCGGGAAGGAGACGCGGAAAAAAAAAAAACGAACACACCTCTGTCATTGCGAGGATGCACGGTCTAATGAGAAGTTCAAAGGTGATCGGATTAGGTAGTGGGGGGCGTGGTGGAGGACGCGATGGTTGCTCTCAGTGATTTTAGCTCCGGGAGGTGTAGTCACAGTTCTCGGTGCAAGCTGTCAGGCCGTGTCTAGCTGGTTCTCGAGGTGAACGGGTTGATTGATGTGGGGGAAAGAGGAGCGTTGTTATTTGTTATGGCGGGTTTCGGGTCTTGGCAAGTCACGTGCCAGGTGCCACGAAGCGCGCCTCAAAGTCACCAGGTAGACAGTTCCACATCATGGAGCGTCACTCGTTAAAGCATACCCTTGTTCAATCCACCACAAGTTACACCCACAACACCGACACAATTATAGGAAAGTGGAATATTTGACGAGTTTGAAACCTTTCTATTTGTGGCTTTTATTTATTTATGTCCCTTTTTTTTTCTTTTTTCATCAATGCACCCCCTGAGGGCAAGATCCATTTCCAAAGTCATCATCTTTCCCCCAATTCTCCGTAGCGCCTGGCAGTATAAACGAAATAAGTGAATCAATCAAGACATTAGAATCATATCCACCCCGTTTTGGAACCCCCGAACTATTCCAATTAGCTTATCCTATCCGAGTGACTGCACCGAAATCACTCACCTGTGAATGTGCATATACACCTTTACTATATCATGCTTTGAGATACAGATACACACACAGTGAAGGCATTCGTATCCAAGGAAGATGATCATGAAGAGTAGAGAAAGAAAATACCAATAGAGAAAGAAACACAATAGCAAAACGACAACATAAAAAAACCTGACACCAAACCAATCCTTTCCAGTTGATCCCCACACCCAAGCAAAAAACGGAGACATAAGAAAACAAAGAGAGACAATACACATGACCTAAGAAAAGACGACGGATAAACCTGCCACCCTAATGGAACGTAATAATAAAAAAGTCCTGCATCAATAAAAAAAAGTCTGGTGTCAATATACTTCTCATCTCCGCAACCAACCGCGCTTCTTAGCTTCCGCTGTGGTCTCAGCCATATCTGCGACCTTCTTTTCCCAAACGTTCTTTGCCTGGCGCTGGGCTGTCTGTACATAGACCGAAGGGGGCGCGGAGTTGAAAAGACGCTTGACATTGATCTCCCGTGTGCCTCGGTAAATCTTTGAAACGCCTTTGGTAAGCTCTCTAGCCTTTGCAACCACCAGGCCCTTGACCTCCAATGCCTGTTGCCCTGCGATTTGGCTGAAGTCGCTTGCGATGCGGTTTGCGTCCGTCTTTGCCTGTTCAATGAGAGTCTGTAACTCCGTCTTCTTCTGCCCAGCAACCTTCTTCCATCCCGAAAGCTTAAGCCATGGAGACCCAAAGTCAACCTCGAGGGTTTCCTTCATCACAGGCTTTTGCTTCGTCCAGAGCGAAACGTTCATTAGACCCCAAGCCTCCTCGGCATCCAGCTTCAAGGTATAAACCCCATCGAAAGGTTTCGAGAGCTCGGCTTCGATCTTCGCACCGCCTCGGGTAACCTCGACGAAAAGGGCTGGCGGTTTCTTGAGAAGCAAGTACTTTTGCGGAGGACGTACAAGTATATGATTGTCACCGATGACATGAATGCTGAATTGGTCAGATTCGTTCAACGAGAGCAATGATGAGTCATAAATAAGACTCGAAATGTCCATCTTTGGCCCGCATGCTGTAGAAATACTTGGGGCAGACTGCATCGCGGTATAAATAGACGTAAATGCCGAAATTGATGTGGGGATGGCCAAGGTTGCCGTAGAGGAAGCCGTGATCGCAGTAACAGCCTTGATCACAGTCTCTGTGACGTCCTCCACTTCCATGGATGACTTCGAAAACTTCATATATGCGATTGCGAACGTCGCACCAGCAAGCCCACATACAAACACCCAACCAACAAGGAACAGCTTCCACAAATCATCACGCTTCTGCTCACGGATCCAGTACAAGGAGCCCGTAGCGCTACCGTCTTGACGGTGAGGGGTTTTTTCTACATCTCGCATTAATGGGTTGAACAAAGCGGAGGAGGACGTACGCGTTCTGCCAACTGGCGCTGGAGAGATTTCCTGGCTTGAAGAAATGCCAGTGATACAAGCCAAGTTTCGGTTCAACTGGCGAACATCGAGATTGAGGAAAGTGGACAGATCAACAGGAAGACGTTTATGCACCAAGTTACCATATTTCGACTCCGATTGGGATTCGAGACACATATGCACACTTCGCGTGTCGAGGGCGAAATTCTCGGTGGGCTTATGATAAAGCGTATTCTGTGAGATAACAAGAGTCGGGACGGAATGCCTAGCCATGAAGGACCTTGCATAGACTCTGGTCATTCTTCTTTGTGTATTATCGTCATCCGAAGAGAAGACGACTGCAAGGTGAGGGAGCTTCCATCCAGGAGTTGTGATCTCAGGACCATCCTCGCCATAGGTAGATTGCACCGACTGATTACCGTTCAACCATAGGCAGATGGTGTCCGGACGACCCTCCCGTTTGGAAGACTTTGCAGTGGTACACACGTCTACAGCCATCTCCACGCCGAAGGACTCGACAAGTTCGACCTCAGGTGAGCAGCTACGAGTTCCGAAAGAGGAAACAGGAATGACATTGAAACGGGAACCTTTTAATCCAGATTCCCAAGAGCTTAGAGAGCTTGTCGATTCTGTAATGGGTACAGCCAAGGCACCACCTAGCTTTGTAATTATGTCATCCTTGGCCACTGTGGATCCGATATAAAGAACACGGAATGGTTCATTCATGATAAGCTGAGACTTGCTCATAGTCTGGCGGACGGTAGCAAAAAGCTTTGTTGGTGGAGGTTCTTCGATCCGAATGTGAGTATTGATCTCGCTAGTCTCAGCCTCGTTGAAGTTGCAGATACTGTGGCTGACCGAGATTTGTTCGCCGGCAAACTCTTCCGGTTCCTCAAAGGTAATCTGCTCTGAGATTGATCCGTCCGATTTCATGGTCATTCCACTACATTCGAGGGGCTGCTCGTCTAGCCCACCGAATGCTGGGATTCCTGGATGGGGATCGTTATGTTGTGTCTCGACAGGAAACTCTGCGAGAGACTCAGCATCTTCGGCAGATGCACTGTCTTCTTCTTCTTCACTGTTATCGTCCAAAGAAGCAACCGATGATGCATCATCTTCATCATCTGTAAGGAGGGTAGAGTCTGTGAGGATCTCATAGGTACTTTCCCCCATTATGCCATCGCCGTCCTCTGAATAGGTCGGCATTTTTTCTTTTTTCAAAAGAGCCAAAATTTAAAGATGGGAACTTTCAAGGGATATTTATAGAGTTATATATCTGGGGGGGTAAGTTGCTGTATATCTAGTGACGTGGGACACAGCTGGTTTGTAGAGCCTTGTTTTTTGGTCAGTAACAAAAGAACAAGATAACGGTTTATGGGTGGAGCAGCGTGAAGCGAGAGGACAGAGAAATACACCTTTGTGAACGTAGTAGGTAAATACGAAGAATCCAGGGTGTGAATCGGGGGGGAGCTTAGAGGTTGCGAGGGAAGAGGGAGGGAGATAGAGGGAGGGGTTTCTTTCCAGTGTTGTATGTGGTTCTGATTACGTCGGGACTTTGAGGCTCCTCGGCACGGAGAGGCAAAAAGTTACTGCCTTGTTGTTCAGAGTTGAGTCAGACAAGAGAAAATCTGAGAACGAAAGCTCAGGATTGCGAGAAAGGAATCGCCGCACAGTAATAGCTATTCAAGAGTTTCTGGTGGCCAACCGTAGCATGTAACAAGGTTAGACTGTCAGTTAAACGCGGGGCAAAGCAGGTCTATTTGTTTGTATTGCACACAACTAAAGTAGGTATTAGGAACTGTCTCAGAGATAAAAGTAGCTCAATAGGGATCTTCTTCGAAGGCAATAGAAACAAGCTGTCGGGCCCAGGCAGAATGGAAGAGTCTGAGTGCACAAAAGACAGCGAATACCGTGAGAAGATGAGGAGGAGAAGAAGAAGCACAGAGTGGGGAGAAGTGGTCCTTTCTTCTAAAAGGTGCGTATGAGCTCAGCAATGGTTGTTATGGAGCCTTGGAGGGGTAAATTACACCAGGTGAGCTGCAAGCTGCATCACGCCTAACTCTATGCAGCTAGGCCGTGTGTTATCGCAGTCCAGGATAAGGGTTACTCTCGCTGAGGATGGCACACGTTTACTGCGATATCTCGATTGACCATCTCGTTCGACTATAGCCGGTGGCTATCCATGACACAGAGGCATGGGGCGGGAGTCGACCGGCAGGTACCAGTTCGTGTTGGATATAGAAACATCAAAGTTCCTGGATTCAAACACATGCAGTTGTTGTACGGGCAGCTCTTAAGCTTGCAGACTCTCGTCAAAGTTATAATAATATCTGAGACACTGTTACTGTTACCCAGTCATAGATAAAGCGAGTCATTCCGCCCACTTCTCTCCTTCTTTTTGCCAAAATTGTGCCCCGCCTAATTACTACCATACATAAAAGAAGAAATCATAAATCATCTCTATCGACAAGTATCCAATTCATTTTTTTGGAGTCGGCAAACTTCCTTGATTCCTGCTTCTATAAGCCTGCTCATGGCTAATCCTCTTTTTTTTGTTGACCGCCCTATCCGATACCGTAACCTTCCCCAGAGAGCCGCATGAGACATGAAATAATGCCACGGAATGTTACCCCATGCCCGCTAGCAAGTTTAAAACATGAAAAACAACACAGGAAGAATAATAATAAAAGAATAAGATATAACAGGAGAAAAGCCCGGTTTACATCTTCAACCTCAAGACCCACAAAAATGGCACCCGACACCAGCGTCAAGACTAGATAAAACAATGCAAACTAACCTATCCACCGTTGAAATATAAAACGAATTTATGATGCCAATTCTTGCAGCCCCGACCACAAAGAAGCGGAATTATAACGCGGTAGATGCAATTGGCAAGACAGAAAAGGGGGTAACAAAAAAAGGTACTGTAAAACCAAAAAGAAAATAAAAAAGTGAAAAAAGTGAAAAGAGTTAACATGGAGAGCAATACACAGACTCCGAGAGAAGTAGTAATCGATATCCACCCATCATTTATTCGTCTCTTACATCATGCCGATGTCCAACCGCCTGCCACATCTACCCACTCAGAAAGACAACTTCCTGGCTTGCCTTCAATATCCAGAATATCAGTATCGCATCTACACCTGCACCCCACTCCATTCTCCTTCTCGGCATCCCAATGTTGCCAGTAGTCGTCCTCTTCTTTTGCCTTCTTTGGATCGGTAGTTGTCTTCTCAATGAACTTTGGTCTAGGAAGCTGTCGGGCGGGAGCATTGGCCGGACAGTGCTGAATCGTGGTGTGTCGGTAACCAAAGTCACGGAAATAGTGAACATCTGCGGGACCAAGGAGGGCACCAGCGGCAAGAGAATGAATTGGGGCATCTCCCCACTACAGTAATAATCAGTAATCAAATCTAACAGAACTGCAGGTATATTGGTGGGAAACACTAACCCGTTCTGTCCAGAAACCACCACTTTTATCCATCATTTGGAAGAAATCCTCGTAGGGTTTGCTTCGGAAAAAGTCCAAACGAGCGATTTCAAAGTTACTCCAGAAATGACACATGTTATACTTTTCCGTCTCCATCGCATCTGGATCTACATCTGGGAGCTTTCCACTGTTAGGGTCAAGCTTCAACACCTCTTCAGGAAGCTTGTCCAATTTCTTTTCCTTGGGTGGTTCCGGTTTCTCAAGGAACATCTCCCACAGTCCCTTGGATGTGATGTTGTTGGTTCTTTTATATGCGGACGCATAGCGGAAAAGGTTAGGCACTGTTTCCTTTAGTTCCTTGACCGCAATTGTGAAACCGTATGTCTTGTTGTTCCTTGCCATGTGCAAAAACGGGTCGCTGAATTCATTAGTATCTGTAGAAATGCATCATTATGGGGAGGAAATCATACTAAGTGATATCACAGAAGTATTTGATCTCGGGCTCCAAGCGCCAGTACCATTCGTACTTCGCCAGCAACTCGTGCTTGTAGAAAAACCTAACCACCCAATTCTAGTTAGAAATAGGTCCCTGGCCGACGTGAACTCATAACAATGTTCCATACCCAGAGTAAAACCGACACATGTGATGGTAACTGGCCATGCCACCGTACATAATTGCCGCATCTCCTTGCTTTGCGATCGATTCTGCGGCCTCATCATGGTCTACCCAATCAGGGAATCCCCACATGCTGGAGTCAATCTTTCCAAACTCAACCGAACCACTGGTGTAATTCTGAACAGTGTTCTTGAACTCCTCGCTGAAGACGCCGTCGTTGAGGAAGACGTAGGGATAGTGGTACCATCGATTGAAGTGACGTTCGATTGATTTGAGAGATTGAATAACACCCTCCAACTCCTTGTTCCGGGCCAGCACAACGAATGCCGCGTTTGCCCGCGGGGTGTTCGTCTCGGGTTCCAAGCATCCTGTAACAAAGGGCTTATCGAATTCTTCAGAGATTTTCCTGTATACTGGTCAGATACCCCTATCATACATCTATCGGCCATTTCAGACCGGGGGTGAAATCCCTACCTTATCGACGGAGGAGATCCAGATGGGATGAGTATTCTTGCCGGGGAATCGGGATGTCGAATGAATAGCACGAGTATGAGAAGGACAACTGTTACAGGGAAGAGTAGGATTACTCCTAATGGTATCGTAATGCTGTTCCCTTTAGATAACTTGACTCGTCGCCGCAGGAAAGCTAACCGCGGCGACAGTCGGTTCTTTGAAAAGTCCTCAAGCGACGGCATATTTGTCTTTGAGGGGAATCGTTGGTAAAGTTGGGTTACCAACCCCATACAGTCGGGAGTGAAGGATGGAGGGGGTTATTGCAAGGTTGATAGGGAAGGGGTTCGGTTACGATAATTCCTTCGAAAAGAAGCTTATCGAGTAATATATAACGCTTGAGCGATGAGATAGATGAAGGATAGAAAAAGAGAATGGCAAGGACGGTCCGAGAGAATGGCTGCTGTCAGAGCCAGTGCGTACTCCTAAAAAATCTCAGTACGTGCTCTGCGATGGCGCAAGTACTAGCCCCGGCAAAGGAATAAACGATAAGTGGAAGCAAGTAGAGAACACACCTATTACAATCGATGTTGTATGGATGATGAAGATGCCGGCGACCCAGCTCTGGTAAGAGGATTGGAGGATTCTAAAGATGATTGATTGCAGACAGCAGCAGACTTCGTCGCGAGAAGTGGCTGTTGGAGCCAAAAAACTGGGGGGGCCGCCGGTGTGGGACTTAGGGGAAAGGGAGAATCTGGCCTGCTTGTCGAGCAAAATCCCACCGTGTGATTAATCGGGTTAGCCGCATGTACCACTGTAGAGCAAAATATCAACCCCCACGTGCAAAAGCTTTTACTAAGCCTCGCCCAACTCCAAGTTGACCCTAGATGCTCTGAAAAATAATTTTTGGATTTCCTAAAACAGCCTAAACAATCATTAAATACGAGTTGCACGGATTATCACTCGCTAGGGCCCTCCGAAGGTGGTTGAAAGGGTGCCTACGCCCCCTGTCAATGCTGTCTGTTTAACTTTAACTCCAGTACTACATCAGTCTACATGTGCCTACTCTTCTCATAAGTGTAGGTGCAACATATATAGCTGTCAATTTGGGGCAGTTTTCATGCAGGTTCAAGGCATTTACATCTACTAATCTTATAATACCAACTCTATCTACTTCAACAGGGAGAATGAGGGATCGACCATAGCCTCAAAGGTTTCCATATAACAATATTTGAAATCCCATTTACTAGATTACCAGATCATACGAACTTGACTCGAATCCTTTCTATTACAACCCAAGTTATGCTGTTAGTAGGCATCGAGAGGTAAATCCTAAATATGTGCATAACGAGACCTTTATTTTGTAGATCTTGGTTAGGCTCGATCCAATCCATTTCTGGTGTTGCTGTGCTCAAGCTGCTAGTAGGGGGTTATTCCTGTTGCTATTTCTCATGAGCTTAAATACGCCAAAGGGTTCATTTTGGCAGATCGACGACGCCGATTTTAGAGTATTATACTCTTCCAAACCCATCCTCCAATCCAGAGGGCAATAGGACATCATCTTACCCCGATGAGATTTGCAAACCTACCAATAATTTACCCGGGTGTTTCAATCCCTTCCAGTCGAGCACATGGATCCCTCCCAAACCCAAACTTAAGCATAACCCGCCAAGCCATCCACCTCGTCACCGTCACGTCTCCCCTGCCACGCGCTCCCACCACAACACCAAACCCTCACCATGTCGCACAAGTCCAAAAACCTCCAATATGGTAATCCACATATCCCGCCATGCCGTCCGCGGGCCCCGGGCTAACCGCGCGCAGAAATGGAAGAGCCCGCCTTCCTGCGGCGCCTGCGGCAGCAGCACGCCGGCGGCGGTGGGCCGGACCGCTATATCGCGCCGCGCAATAAGAAGACGGCCGTGGACGACGAGGAGGATGCGCCGGCGTATGTGATGGAGGGGTCGGAGGTGTCGAGGGAGGAGTTTGATGCCCTCACGGCCAGGAAAGGGGCGCAGGCGGAGGGAGAGGAGGGAGCTGCTGCTGCGGAGGAGAGCGTTGTTCCTGATGGGGAGGAGAGTAAGGAGGCTGCGGGGAAGGTGAAGGGGGAGGAGGAGGCGGGGAGGGTGCTGAAGGAGAACGTCACTGAGATAGGCGTTAAGGGGAAGAAACGGAAGGCGACTAAGATCGGTGGCGATGATGAGGATGAGCCGGCTGAGAAAGAGGAGAAGGAGGAGGTGAAGGGTAAGAAGGGCAAGGCAACAAAGGCGGGCAGCAAACCTAAGAAACGAGCAGTCAAGCTATCGTTCGATCAGGAATGAGGGATCGGGGTAGTAATATGTTGTGTCCAATTGTCATAGGCTTCGAAGGTATATAATCCTCGCAGCGTGGTATCCTGGCTTGCGCTGGCGTTTGTGAGATTAAGTAGAAGTGATTAAGTAGAAACCTCTTTTAGTTTTCGTATGTTTCCTTCTGCGAGCCATTGGCTTTGAGCAATAGATAAGCACGCTGTAGAAATCAGTCACAGCTCTCGTAGAGGCAATGCTCTTCTTTCTGAAGCTGTCTTATTACCTCATGATGGCGCGAGGAAATAAGGTACCCCGCTTGCCTAAGGCTAGGAACCGGGCTTGTCCATCCCATATAGCGAGTGATCGCTTGTGGTTGATGCGTACCAGGGCCCCACGGCTCTGCCCGAGATCAAAGGGGCCCGTACCAAGTACTCGTGTATTCGTCTCCCGAAAGAAGGTCCATCAGTGCCATCTTCGGGATGACATTTCGTGTGGGTGAGAGTACTTGAACTTATCCATGTGGTCGGTGTTGATATATATTCATATCATGAACATCGTCATATATTTCTTAGATATCGGTCCTGATAACGTTGCATTGGGTTGTCTGCACTCCAATGGTCACTGTAACTTGAACATCGACCCGGCTACCCTCCGAAACTCAAGCGTGAACCCCCACTAACAAGTGGTGCTTTGTAGACATGAGTTATCTACAAGATCGCGGACATCATCCCGAACACCCCCGCGCAGTATCAATTTCGGCAGGTACTCTACACGATTGCAATTGCGGATGACATTCTGGGTTACAATCAAGAAGGCCAAGCATACGTTCTTCAATGGAAAGTCCCGACACTCGGAGCAGAGCAGGCCCAATCTCGAATCTAATCTATGGGGACCGACTCGATCTGATGCGGTAGCTCTTGGCAGTGGTAGCACACCCGACCAGCCCCCGCCGCTCCGCTCACCCTTGGGGCTAGCGCACATCCAATCACGAGTGAGCCCTGGTGATCAGCAGCACCCGCCCGACGAAACGAAACCTCCCCTCGACGCGCACACAGAGCAGGCCACCCAGGCAGGACACACAAACATCATGCCAAGCAGTAGCCTATTTGCATCACTTAGCACATCTACATACCGCTTAGAGAACATCTACAAACGAAACAGCTACTCCTCGAGCTGTTTATAAACCGATCTGCATCTACGGTCCGGCACGCCGCACATCGATCTTGGTAGATATATGAAATCCCAGATTACTGCGGTACCTCCGCACCCCTTCGGCCAAACCCTGGCTCCTGGGCATGCGATAGGTTTATCTATGCTTTTAAACGTTTACGTATTCCCAAAGCAAGCCCTTCCCGCCCGCCATCTTATCCTACGCGCATGCAGTCGTATCAGCGACCCCGAGAAACCTTCCTGGAATGTGGACTATCATTACCGCATGCGGGCGACAACTCCTTGTTGCCTGCTACACTCTGTTGCCCGCGCGCAACTGATAACCTATCAATTTGCGGACCCATGGGTTTCGGAGACCGTTTTAGAGCTGGCCAATGTAGCCTTTTTCTTTTGGCTTTGAGGATTTAAGTATTTATTTATTCGCCCGGTGATATATGGTCTGCCACGCTCCTAGCTCTATAAGTGACAACAAAACACCTTAATACGAGTACTTTTTTTGAGTCTACTTAGACGCTGTACTTATATACATTCGAAAGAAAAAGTCCCAGTAAGAGCTATTGAGCTTTCGATATATGACGGACATCAAGCCAGAACACCCGGACGTGGAAAAGCACCCTGAATCTATCTCGTCAGCGAAAGATGGCTCGACGGAACTTACAGCCCGAGTAATCGATATCGCTGCTGAAAGAGCACTATGCAGGCGGTTCGACTACAGACTGATGCCTGTTCTGGCGGTCATGTATCTCTTTAATGCGTATGTTGCTATACTAATATTAAAGATGTTTATGAAATAACCAAACTAATTGTGCTTGCACACAGGCTCGATAAAGGGAACCTTGGGAATGCAAAAACTAACGGATTTGAGAAAGACCTTGGCTTTAAGGGAAATCAGTACAATATAATCCTTTCTGTGTTCTATGTGCCATACGTCTTATTTGCGCCGCCCCTGGGGATGTTGGGAAAGAAGTATGGGCCTTCTAGGGTGCTCCCTTTGATGATGTTTGGGTTTGGGAGTATGACACTGCTTGGAGCCTGTGTTAAGAACTTCGGAGGCATGATGGCAGGTAAGTACATCCACTTTTAGAGCTGTTAGTAGCATAATACGGACTAACCGTCCTTACAGTCAGGTGGTTTTTGGGAATGGCTGAAAGTGCATTTTTCCCTTTGGTAAGTCAGTGCAGTATGTAATAGTAGTACATAGTAACATTAATGAATGAAAGACGGAGCTAACTTCTCTTACAACAGGTCATATACTACCTCACGACCTTCTACAGACGTGGCGAACTCGCCCGCCGTCTAGCAATATTCTATGCTGCTAGCAACATTGCAAATGCTTTCAGTGGTTAGTAGTTAATTTATGCAATCCCCAAACCAGAGCCTCCCTAACACACCCACCAGGTCTCCTAGCATTCGGCGTTTTCCAAATCGACCACTCCATCCCCTCATGGCGCTTCCTCTTCCTCATCGAAGGCTCCTGCACCGTCCTCTTCAGCTTCTTCGCCTGGTGGTACCTCCCCATGAGCGCCGCCAAAGCCCGCTTCCTCAGCGACGCCGAGAAGGAGCTCGCATTCCACCGCATCCAGGTCGACAGCTCCTCGATCGTCGACGAAAAGTTCAATCTGAAGGAGTCGCTGAAGGTGTTTAAGCTGCCGGTTGCGTGGGCGTGGCTGGCCATCGAGGTGTGTTTGGGAGTGCCGCTGCAGAGCGTGTCACTGTTCCTGCCGCAGATTGTGGGAAGGCTGGGGTACAATGTTATCAAGACGAACCTGTTTACTGTTGGTATGGGTTCCCCCACTTCTCTTGAAATGCGTGGGGAGAGACGTGCTGATTGATGGCTATTAGCTCCGAATGTAACTGGTGCGGTCATGTTGCTTATCCTAGCTTTCACATCGGACTTTACACGGCTGAGGTTTCCGTTCATTGCTCTAGGTGAGTATTTTAGGTGGTGATACGATCATTGACAACAGCTAACACCGCCCGTTCCTGGTAGGCTTTTCGTTCCCGCTCATCGGCTTCATCGTATACTCCAGCATCGACGTTCTCTCCGAGAAACAGATTGCCTACTTTGCCACATTCATGATGTGCTGGGGCACCTCAGCGCCCAGCGTACTGCTATCTACCTGGTGTAAGTGACGTGCCACCACGAACAAAACCCCACATATCTCGAGGCTAAAAAGAACCCCCCGTATACTACAGATAACAACAACATCGCCCACGAAGGCCGCAGAGTAGTCCTCACCTCCGTCGGAGTTCCAGTCGCAAACATGATGGGTATAACCGCCCACCCCCCACCCCCCACCCCCCACCCCCCTGATTCCTCTCTCCCTCTATCACTAACCTAACGCCCCACTAGGAATCGTCAGCTCTAATATCTTCCGCGCCCAAGACGCCCCCGACTACATCCGTAAGCCCCCCTTCCACTCCCCCTTCCCCTCCACTCCTTTCCCCCCCGCACCGCAGCGCAGCTAACTAACCACACGTACGTACAGCGGCCCTCGTGACAACCGCCTGCTTCGGCGCCGCAGGCGTCGTGCTCTCAGCCGGACTGGGCACCTTCATGATCTGCGACAACCGGCGGCGGGATCGGGAGCAGGGCGTGCGCATCGACGCAAGGGACGTGCCCACAAAGGTGTTGGCGAAGGGGCCCGACGCGGTCGAGTTTAGGTGGTTTTTGTAGATAGATAGCTGGAATGTTGTCAAGGAGGGGGGGTGCGTCATGGGGTGTCACTCGGTCGCTGGTGGTTGTGATAATGTATCGTTCCGTAGTTTAATTGGAGATATTTTTATTGCTGTTTCAGAAGGAGATGTGGAGTCTTGGGTTGGGTGCTGTTGGAGTATCTGTGGTTGTTGGTCTAGTTGATAGATTAATTGGATTTTCCCAGCGGTTCTCTCCCTCTCTCCCCGCTTTCCTGTATCATACAAATCAACGAACCAATCTAGAAGCTCTCCACTAGTTGACAGCGTGAAGGGATAGACTCGACCATACTCTCCACCACTCGGGGCGAGGGTCTAGCTAACTAACTACGTGTACACAACCTCCCCACCGGCGCAGCCCCCCAGTAAACCCCAAGACCGCAAACTCCGATCCGACCCCCAACAGAACAAAGAACACAAACGACCACCACCACCACACCACACAATCCATCCAGACAGTGGCGGTCGACACACTCTTCCGTCATCCATCCACGCCACATTCCCCGCGGAGTATGACGCGCGCGGGTGCGAAGGCTATATATAGCAAGGTCAAGGTGGCGGCGGCGGCGGCGACGAGGGCAGGTCCAGCTGGGCCCTGGGGTGGATGTCCGGTAACATCATATACCGGACCCGCCACTGGGGGTGGTTGTTGTTGGACAGCGCAGGACGTTTTGGCCTCGCAGCTCGTACGAACACCCTTGCACTGGCTACGAGTGATACACTATGACGCACACGCACATCATTCACAACGTGAAAAGACTCAAGATGCACACGCAACCACCAGGCAGCCCGCAGCAAGACCCGCAAATCTCCCTGCGCCCCTGACTTTATTTTTTATATTTATTCCGTCGACAAACACCTCATCCCCCCCCTCCATCACCACCACAGACTCGGGAGGGGGAAACAAAGTAACTAACTACATATAATAACACAACAGATATTCCCGCGACGCGGTAAGGAAAGGTTTTTAAAAAAACACACTAACAAAGTCCCTCAATGTCCAGTATTGTGGGGATAGAAAAGGAGAGGGAAAAGGGGGAAACCCCCCAAGCATGCAGGAGATTATCCTCCCCGTTATCTACTGTACCTATGGCTGATATACTCGCCAAGCAGCAGCATACAAAGAAAAAGAAAGAAAAAAAAGGGGACAAAAATCGAACACTCTCAGTATCGTGGAGAAATATAACACAAGCCCGAGATGTCAAAAAGAAATGAAAGAGAAGAGACTAGAAGGTTAATATCTTGCGTCCTCGCCCTACATAAACTAACAGAATCCCCGCATCCCCCCGCCCATCCCCGTACCCAAACCACGCGCCAAAAAAAGACGTGTCGTTGCTCCGGTCCCAAGATGAAACCATAACTCCAGACAAGGTAGGATTCACAAAAAAGAAAAAAAAGGAAAAAAACACAAAAAACCCATTCCCAAAAAGAAGAGGAAATCAGAAACAGATGAGATCAAATAGGGAAAGGAAATAAAGGAAAGGAAGAGATAACTCTTTTTGAACAAGGTACTTGCACTTACTGCCCGCCCATCTTGGCCACGCCCTCAAGATATGCCAACAACCCTTGTCTCTCCGTGCCAAGCGGGCTCTTTAGCGGCTCGCTCTTTTCCTTTCTGGCGGCGCGGCCTCTGCTGGCGCTGCGGCTCCTCCCGCCGCTAGCAGGGTTGGGGTTGGAATAGGCCTGCTCGGGGTTGGGAAGCACTGGCTCTGGAGCCGGCGGGACGCCGCCGGTGAACATGGCGAGGAGGGTTTGCTGCTGGCTACTGATGCTGTCCCTGCGATCAATGTTGTTCGGTGGTGGAGCGTACTGAGATGTTTGCCTTGCAACACCCGGAGATGCGCGGTACTGAGCCTGCGGTCCCACGGTCGATGAGCGGGATGTCGGTGCGTGTATAACTTGTGGCGGGGGGGCAAAAGCCTGCCCCGAGGCGACGCTAGCGGCGCGAGGGCTGTCACCACGGAGGGTGGCCAAAAGAGCAGCTTGCTGCGCGGTGTGTGTTACCCTTGGGGTCCTAGGAGCTGCCTGCGGCTTCGCGACTGGCTGTTCGTAGGGAGCGGCAGGCGGGGCCCTAAATTCTACCTTCGGGGATGCAGCAGCCCGTGGTGCTAGTGGAGGCGGGGCCTGTGCAGGTTGTTGCGGTGCTGGTGTCGCTCCTGTTAGAATAGACAGTAGGGTACCTGCTTGTTCTCCCGGGATCGAGGGTAGAGGAATGGTTGTCTCTACTGCAGGTGTAGGCACCATGGGCGGCCTATACCCGTTCTGGTTTACAGGTGAGAATGCATATGGCTGCGGCTGCGGCGGCAGTGCGTAGTTTACACGACCATGATGTTGGTTCTGATGGCTCTGATGATTTTGATGATTCTGATGATTTTGATGATTCTGATGATTTTGATAGTTTTGATGATTTTGATAGTTTGGTTGATTTTGAAAGCCTGATTGGCCCTGATATCCTGGTTGATTCTGATAGTTTGGCTGATTCTGATAATTCTGATTATACCGAGCGGATGGATAATTAGACATTGGCGGTGGCGATGAAGGTAGTTGAGTAGTCGAATCTGGCACGTTTCGTGGGAACTCAGGCCACCCAGTATTTGACCCGATAATACCACTGTTAGTAGAGCTTGGTGCCTGCTTTATAGGCGCCGATTTCTGCGATTGCGGCGAATTAACGTAGTTCTGGACGGCTGGTGTTGCACGCTGAGGAGATGCCAACCGCTGGCCACTTCCTTGGGGAGGGACGCGCGGAGTTACGGGTTCGCCAGATCCATTTTTGAGCATTGAAAGCAACGCTCGCGGGTTCGGCTCCAGTTGCTCTACATTCAGAGAGACACCCGACTGCTGGTTCGGAGAAGGCCCAGCGCCCAGCATGTTCATCAACCTCGCGGACTGGTCCCCATGAACTGCTGCTGGTTGCACATGTTGCGCTTGTACCTGTTGGGGTTGTATTTGTTGTACTTGGTGTACTTGTTGCCCCTCCTGATTACTCGAGGATCCGAAAAACATGTTCTTGAGCCTCATTGAAGCTTCATCGGTACTTGAATACCCATTGGCCGTAGCTGCATCGTTCTGCGGCGGCGGCGGAATACCAATGGAATTCCGTAGCTGAGCTGATGGATCTGGAATTGGAGACGCAACCTCCTCCTCAACCTCAGTCTCATCTGCTATCCTGTTTGCTGCCGCCGCAAGGCTCTGCTGATGCTGCTCTTGTAGCCACTTCTTGCCCTTTGTAGAGATCCATTTCCGCAAGTCCTTGAGGAACGGAGCCACCATGTAGTATTTCCCAGTCCGCACCTCGTTCTGCGGCGGCCCATTCTTCTTCTTGGAATACGCGGGGAGATCGGTAAGGCGATGCCATTTGATATCCTACCAACAGCTGTCAGCACCCCACCACCCCACCAGCACACACACACAATACGCACACTGATCTCCTTTCTTGTCTGGCACTCGAACACCGTGTCCTCCGAAACGCCAGGTATGATATATAACCTCAGATTCTGGTCCCTCATCACAATCTCTACATAGTCCTCCTCCTTCGCCAAGCCCTCACAGTCGAACCCGGTCTCTTCAAATACCTCTCTGATTGCACAGACCATGTCGTCTTCATCCTTGTTGATCTTGCCCCTTGGGTAGCTCCAGCTCGCGCCCTTCTTGTAGCCCTTCACAAGTAGAAGCTTATCCATTGTCGGGTTCAGGATGATGGCCCCTCGCACAGGCACCCGCGTCTTGTAGGACATGAAGTTGATGAATGCACTTTCCGCACCGCCAGCGGGGAGACCGGCGATAACGGGGAGGGGCAGCACGGCAAAGATCTTTGAGATGAAGCTACGGAGGTTGAGCGTTGGCAGGGCAGGGTTGATGTCCCGGAGGAAGTCCTCGTAGTACCATTGCGCGGCTTCGATCTGGAAGGATAGTCGCTGTACGGGGGAGAGGGGAGGGGATCAATTCAGTATTTTACGCATTTTACGGGACGAAAGCGTTAAATGTAGCTTGCTGGTTGGAAAACAAACCTCGATTGAGTTCAACTCCTCCTCCGGGATGTTGAGAATGAATCTGTTTTGTTGGCACCGCTCGTCAGCGACCGAAAATGACAACTAGCACAAACAATGACGGGGGGGCATTTTTTTCTGTTGCGTACCGTACACAGAGGTCATCGAGGGTCTCTGGAAGTGTCGAGCGACTAAGGATCTAAAAAAGGCATCAGCCTCATGTTCCTCCTCTATATCTCCTCCGTGTCAATTCATTCTCCACAACAGAAACGCACATAAGTAGAAGTGTAAGGCTCCATGCAACTCGGTGATGCTCTCCCTCGGGATCAAAGCGATTCCCACAGAGACGAAAAAAACTTTGACAATAAAGAAAGAAAAAACTTGGTACTGAAAACCAAGGGGGTTGTGGATGGTATGAAGGAAAATAGAACTAGGAAGAAGTAGTAGTAGTAGTAGTAGTAGTAGTAGTAGTTTTTACTCGAACAAGGAAGGAAAAGATCGAAAAGACCAGAGCCAGTGGGGGGAATATGACAACGGGGGGGGACACACAACCAGGGGGTGAGTGGAAGGTTAGGATGAAGGTTGAAAGCGAGAAATTTTTTTTTTTTTTTGGTGGATCGCGATATGATGATGAGGTGGTGGGGGAAAGCTGCCTGCGGGATTCAGGCAGGCAAGGTAGGCCAATGTGGTGGGACCTCTTCCGCTTTTCTGTAACACGCAGTTTGGCCTTATGCATATTTGTGCCCAGCCTGGCCGCCTTCTGTGTGAGTGTGTGGCATGAGCTCTTCCTCTTCTTCTTCTTCTTCTGCTGCCACAGTTGCTTTCTGAAGTCTCTCTCCACCTCTACGATATTTTCTAGGGTTTACTTTTCGCGATGATGATTCATGTATGTGCCGAGCTAGGTAGATCTCGAACGGTTTGATAGCCCTTAGAGCTCAAATGTTGAACTGTTGGGTGCACAGCCACAGCCACGGCATCTCCGAGCCACTGCTCATGAAGCTGAGCACCGCCACCCCATGACGTTGTGCGTGTGGCAACCAACCAACGCTGTTCAGGATGTGTGGAGCTCAACACTCTATCGACTATCACTCGCCAGCCAGCCAGCGCACTCACACCCGCGCACTCGTTCTGTCGCTCAATCACGCTCACACTGCCCGTGCTGCACGTCTTGTTGGAGCTTGTTCGAGCTTGATTTTCTTTCTCTATCTACTTGCCATTCCCACACCATCAACCGCCCGCCATCGGAAAAAACGATCCAATCAAGCACCCGGTCTGCATAATTGTCACCTGTGAAAGCAGTTTCTTCCAAGTTTTTTTACTGGCTATGAGCCCCTTGCTGGAGCTACGGAGGTTTCCTTGTAGAGGCGTGATGATGTTTGATATAAATGTTCAATGGCTCCTGCTGCCAGTCCGGTCCTTCAGTCTCCTGTTCTCTATCTCAATTCTATCTTTCCTCCACCATAGAAGCTAGGCTAGCTAAGTACTTAGCTGCCAGGCGAACAAGCAAGATACCCACTGCACTCTCCGCTCTGTCTCACCAAGAAAGCTCCCCCACCAAGACCGAGCTACAAACAAGGAAATTACATACAACCAGCTCAGACCACCTCATCTCCCATACATCTCATAATATAAAACTTAGACATCTCCCCCATAAAAGTCTAAATCCCCCCACCGCTCCATAAATAACCACCAAACGACATGGCCGGCCTCATCGCAAAAGTCGTCTTCAACAAGATCCTGCACGAGAACGCCTCAAACAACCAGGGCCGCACCGACCCATACTTCGAGACGGTGCCCGCCGCGCGCCTCTCCACCTCCCGCACCAAGAAGGTCCGCCGCGCCCTCCCGCCGGGCCTCTCCCCCGAAGATGAGCGCACCCTCGTCAAGGTCAAGCGCCGCGCCTACCGCCTCGACATGGCGTTCGGGGAGTTCTGCGGGATGAAGATGGGATGGAGCTCTCTCATTGCTATCGTCCCGGGCATTGGTGATGTTGCAGATCGTAAGTCCAACCACCACCACCACTCCCCATTATAGAGCTACATACTTTTCCGTGAAACAATCTCTAACAGAAAACCACCAACAGTGCTCCTAGCAATGATGGTGATCCGCACCGCCTCCGAGGCCAACCTCCCCACCTCCGTCACGCTGCAGATGGTCTTCAACGTCATCATCGACTTCGTCATCGGGCTGATCCCCTTCCTGGGCGACCTGATGGACATCGCCTTCAAGGCCAACACCCGCAATGCCATCGTCCTCGAAGACTACCTGCGCCAGCGCGGCGCTGCGAATATCGCCGCACAAGGACTCCCGCCGCAGCAGGATCCGAGCCTGGGCGCCAATTACGACCGGCTGGAGGATCAGCAGCCGCTGGCGCAGCCGCCGCCGGTGTACCAGAGTTCCGGGTTGCGGGGCGGGTGGTTTGGTGGGGCGGCGAGGAGGGAGGATGATTTGGAGGCGGCGAGAGGGGAGAGGAGGGAGGGCGGTGGTGAGAGGCATAAGAGCTCTAGACATGGGGGGGAGAGGCATGGCGGCGAGAGGCATAAGAGCTCGAAGAGTAAGTCTTCGAGAGATAGAAGTGTGAGGATGGGGCCGCAGGAGAATGGTACTACTGTGCGATAGATGGCATGTTAAGAGTATAAAAATGTGTATTTAGGTTGTGTTTTGTAAACTTTGGGGAACGGAGTTCGATGGTCATACCAATGATTTTTTTCTATTTACCTCTTATTTTCTATCTTCTTATTTCTTTGTATTATTTTTTTCTTTCTTTATCTTCCTTTTTCTATTTAGCTAGCGTTCGGTAGTAGCGGCCACTGTCGGCGAATATTACTATTCATTTTTTATCCAATTAAAATCTTTATTGAAAACTGTTACTCTACTAGTGCACTGTGTTGTTTTGTCGTCCTAAATATCATTTCCAGCCCCCACGGCAGCAGTACCCGGGAATATTCGCTAACGAAATAATATTGACGGCCCAACACAAATATAAGAAACTACAAAATTATAAAGGCTACCCAGAATATGATTGGAGGCACTGGTTGACCTATGAATCGTCCCATCCTTTGCTTACTGCCTGCGCGCTTAATTTGCAGTCATGATACCAATTTGCTTTAGAATCTTGCGACACCAAGTATCCGTTTAACTTGTGTATCTCACAAGCTTAATTATATAAAAATTAAAAACTTGTGGGGTTCGTTTCTCCTCAAGTGTGTTTATGTTCTACTCACAAGAGCGTGCCCAGTCTTCTTGCTGTATGCCATGTCCTTTCCCCCCTGAGCCAAGTCAAACGTGATGGTCAGTAGTACCTATGTAGTGAGGTACCGGTACCGAATCTCTACAACCACCGATGCGAGCGATGAGATGCATTTCATCCAGGACAGAAGTGATCAACTAGATAGGTACCCGTAGCCTCGTAGAGTAATCAATCAATCAATATTAATCAATCTCAGTCACTTGCAGTGCCTTACCTAGAGCACATACCTGGAGTAGAGTAGAGCGCAATACTTGATTCTCTCCGCCCCGGCCCCCCCTCAAGCGTTCCCAGGTCCATTCTACCGGAGATCCCCGTGGGCAGTAACTAGAAGTGCTCTACCTATATGTAAGTAAGTAACCACCGCCGCGCCGCGCCGCGCCGCACCGCACCGACCCCTGACCATCCGTTCCTCTTTTCACCTTTCCCCAATCCAATTCACGTGCATCACCTCAACCTCGGTCCGGGCCTGTCTGGCTACTCACATTCACATACTCGCATCCCATTCGTGCAGCGCAGCGCAGCAGCAGAGAAGAAGAAAAAAGCTATCCCTAGCACCATACCGCGATGACCTGTCACTGAGTGATATCCGTGATTACCGTAACCGTAAGCCAGTAGTCCGGCGGGTAGTCGAGTTGAGAGCGAGTGCGTGTGCGAGAGAGCGCGGAAGGAAGGAATGAAGACACCACCACCGTCACCCCAAGACTCCCCAGCTCTCCTCTATCTCCTCGCGCTATGTGATCCGGACCACGATAAACAAACCAACACCTACTTCACCCAGCACTGCGCAAACACCCACAATAACAACCAATACATCAACACCCCCGGAACAATGTCGCCCAATAATAATTATAATGACCTTGGCCCGTTCGCCGGCCTGGGCGGCGGGATGCCCGGCGGCGGGAAGGACATGGGCGGTATCAACATCGACGAGGCAATCCGGCAGCTGAGGAAACACCTCCCGGGTGCGATGTCGCGTTTGCACCACTTCCTACTAAGGATGAACAAGTGAGTATATATACCATATAGATATATATATGTCTTAATATATATCTCTATACTTCTTGCTGTTTACCTGCGCCCTCTTTCCGTCTCATCTTCCCCCCCCCCCCCCCGCGTTTCTCGGAGGAGGTCTGAACCGAACTGACATGTTGCGTGCTTGCGCGCGCGGCGTTCTTTAGGATGATGTCCACCCCCGGCGGCGTTGACAAAGTGCTCATGACGATCTCCTACACGCTGCAAATGCTGTCACCGAACCTCCCGCGCGGCTCTCCGCTCGTAAAGTCCATCAGCTCCCTCACGTCCCTCATCTCCGACATCCGCATCTTCAACCGTCTCTGGGGGCTGCTCGGCATCTACGCCTGGGGCCACAGCATCGTCCAGCACCCGCCGCGGGACCTCACGATCCGGCGGATCGTCGCGGCGCAGGTGCTGGTCAATGCGTGCTTCCAGGGCCTGGAGAACGTGGCGTATCTGGCGTCCCACCAGGTGCTGAGGATCAGCAAGCAGGGCCAGAGCAAGCTGTGGATGTGGAGCAGTAGGTTCTGGATGGCGCATGTGGGGCTCGAGTTCTGGAGGTTGCAGAGGGTGCGGGAGATGAGGATGGGCAAGATCAGTAGGGGCCTGCTACAGCGGGGTGAGAAGAAGGAGGAGGAGGACGAGTGGAAGAAGAACATTATTAGTAATTTGGCGTATGCGCCGTTGACGGTATGTTGCAGTCCTTTATTTTTATTTTTATTTTTATTCCATTTTATTGGGAGGCCGAGACCTTTTTTTTTTTTTTTTTTTTTTGGCTTGAGCGGGAACGGGTATGGTGCGACATATGGCTGACGATTTATTTTTTTGTGACGATGTAGCTGCATTGGTCCGTCCAGAATGGGATGATTGGTCCGTCGGCGGTGGGCGCTCTGGGGAGCGTCGCGGCAGTCATTGGATTGCAGAACGCATGGAATTCAACTGCATGAATATATATACTTCGTGGGTTTTGTGTCTAGCACTAGGAGAGAGTGGTTTCTTCATGTATAGAGGATTTTATGTTTTTTTATTTTCCTTTTTACATTCCTTGTTTTTTTATGGATGGGCTTCTTTTGTTATATCTGATGGCGGGGGGTTTTGCGATGTTTATCTTTCTGCCTTTTTAGGTCATCTTTTTTTTTTTTGTGTATGTACTCTAGATGTATATCGTGATATGTGATGAGGAGATGAATTGGTATCAACGAGTAATTTTTATGATTTATGCTTGCGGTGCATAGGTGTCTATTTGGCTCTGGCTGATAGGCTGGATACATTGTTCTCATAAACAAAACGAAACACCTCCTATGGTTTCGATAATAAGTGCACATGATATCTGGGAGTGGCTGCGGGCGGTGCTGGCGGGGTTATCAACTACCTAACCAGTGTCTAGCTATGAAGGAGCCTTAGGCGGCGTCGAGAACCGGCTTTCCCAGCTATCTTCAATATCCTCCTTTTCCACCACGAGTTCAAACACGCCTCCAGTTCCATCGCGTGTCGCGCCCGACATCTAGAAGCCTGGAGGCTGCGAGGACGTACGTTGCGAGTTAGCGGGTAAGCTGGGGAGCGTGCATCATAGTATATCACTCGCCCACTCCAAGTCAGCTGGGTAACCGCGATCCAACCTACCTCCACGTGCACCACGGCTATGGTTATAGCGATATCCGCGCTTTGCTCCCTACCCACGCGCCAGAGCATACTGTTCTCATGTAAGAACAGTCCGTCTGCTATGTACGCTTGGGCTTCTGTGCAGGAGCGGGCGGGTTGTCTATCACGGCAGGAGTTGGGGGGCGGGCCGGGACCGGGCTTGTGGCGTGGGCTATGAGCCATCTCGGGTCGGGTCGGGACATGAGCTCAAGCCGACTTGGATCTTGGAGGGCGAGGCTTTGAAAAGCTTGAGGTGGGCGCTCGAGATACTGCTCGAGTTTTTGAGTCAATCATCGGGAATGCACAACACGTTCCTAGAAAACGGGGTAAAATGTGAGCATAATATACGTATACTTATACTCCGTTCCCCTGACGAGTAAGCCCCTACGTGCTGAGCTTTGGGGCCGAGTCTTGCGCCCCTCACCATACGGAATCGGATGCCGAATCCGCAACTAAGGGACGTATGTAAATCGAATTCTGGGTTCGGTACACAGAGAGCTCGCTCGACAGGAAAACGGAATATAGGTAAAATAGCCATATAAATGGCCTACCGGGGGTAACTAAGGTTGGGCTCGACTCGTTCTAGCTGTAAGAAACAGCGAGGTTTAGTGAACCGTCTATCCCATCGACTGTAAGCGGATTCGGGTCATCCGGGCACCAAATCCTTGGCAACACAACCAGGAGAAAAAATCTTAAGAAGATAAATTGAATCAAAATAATACAGGAGGAGTGCAATATAGCTATATCTCATAATGATACTTTTTTTTAACGTGTGGTTCTCAGTTGCGTAAGCATGATGGGATACGTATAGATACTCGCTCTTTCTATCACTCATATCTCACCTTATGGCATGGAACATAGCAGCTCTAGGCTAACTCGGGTCTAAGCTCATCTATCGAAGTAAGAGGCTTGAACGAGCCCGACTTACCATTTAGAGTGGTGAGGCTTCCCCCTAACGAGCAAAACCTCGAGCACAAAGCTCGAACTAGCTCTTCTCATGGGCCACAGTACTAGGAGTGGTGTCCAGGGCGTTCTGTGTAGTGATGGGCATGAGACAGGACGAGACGAAACTTAGGAAAGTCTCGTCTCGTCTTGTATTATTCAAATTGAGTCTCGAAAGTCTCGAGACAATGGTCTAGTCTCGTCAAAGTCTCGAGACTTATCGTTATGTGGCCTCGGGCTACGAAAGCTCTATAGTCATATTGATCAATACAAATCAAGGGTCCAGATCTTTTGGAATCAGGGCTGGAGAATACATTCAAGTGGGTAAAAAAAAAATCAAAAAAGTCTCGAGACTTGTCTCGAGAGTGCATATAGGCCGGTCTTGTCTTGTCTTGTCTTGTCAGCCCTCAGGTCTCGTCTTTTACCAAAAGTCTCGAGACAACTTGTCTCGTACCCATCACTAGTTCTGTGTGCGGTTTAGATCGAGTAAAATGGACGAAGGCTATGGTATCTGGTGGTTATGGTACTTGTAGGCTTGTAAACAGACTTAAAATTGGTGGTCGTGGCGGGTAAGGGGTCCGGATTGTATGCATTGTGGAGTTGCAATACTTACCCCGTTTGGCTACATAGACCACGAGAGGGCCCTAAAGGTGGAGGACAGCTGTACTTCTTAATCCGCGTTTCTGGGTGAAATCTGAGGGTGGACAGCGCAGCGTCAATCGTAAAATTTTGGCGTCGTCCTATAGCTAAGTAGCTAGCTAACGTATAACTTTGTGGCCAGTGTCAATAGTCAGCGAGTTGAGAGCTCGTAGGTTGCTGTTGAAACCCCGAGTCGTCGTGAGTCCGTATGCTACCAGATGGAGGCATTATTCTGAATTAACGAGCGCTGTGTGGGCACGTACCTTTGTCACTGTTGTTTGATCGAACGGCATCTTGCCAGCATATTTCAATGATATGATGAGTCGACCCCGAGAAAAACACCGGTACCGGGTAACTTTAGACGTGTAGGCAAGTCGACAAAATATGAAGCGGTAATCGTGAGGACTTTGCTGTTCTCTTCTTCTTCTCCTTTCCTCTCGGGCCCAGCGTCTATCGAAGTTGGCTAACCGTGCGAATCCGGCATCCTCACCATGCGAGCTAGACAAGCCCGATCACAGACTATCACTCGCTAGTTGACGAAGACTCCTACTCCCACAAGGTTAGGTGAGAACACACACAGAAACGGTGGGGGTGTGATTTTTGGTGTTCTGTGACTCCCCTATGCCAGCGGTGGGGTAGACCATCTACGTGGCTACATTACACATGGTGATTTCGGGCAATCGTGCAAGTATACCGTTTTGATGCCAAGAAGCACCCCGACACCAAAGGATCAAACTTAACCTTCCTTGCAATTGACTCATACCATCAATTCGTCGTTGTCAAGATTTATTGACTCAGTTCTAATCAGTATCAAAGATAAAGCAAGAAAGTTATTCTCGCCCAAATGGCCTGTGGAAGCAGAATGCACTACATCACGGAGATGCCAACAAGTGACAAACTCGCACACCATGGATGGTTTTTTGACGCACCCAAATACCAGTACAGAGGTAATGAGCTCAAATACCGCTTAATACACTCAGACCATCTAATATATACTAATATTATACACACCACATGGAGATCCCCTTCAAATCCTTCAAATCGTGGGAAAACGGACCTGCTAGCAGAGTCACAATTCTAAAAGCACAGTGTCAAATACCTCGACGACTAGGGTTAGATTTGATCATGACACAATACACCGTATGTGTATGGATAGAATGAATATACTGATCAAGTAATGGTCCAAGCAATCGCATACCAGTAGTCAAAGAGCATTCATATTGTCGACTTTGGAGCACAAAGCCCCGTTTGCCTGGAGATCGAGATGAAGGGGGACAAATAGTTTGAATGAACGTGACAGCTACAGTGATAGTAAAAAATTTACTCGTAGTAAAAAGCCCTCATCCCACGCTCTTCGGTATCTTTCTCCCTGATAGATGGTAACTGGGCCTTTTCCATTAAGAAACTATGGTAACTACCGAAGATCTTCGCCGTTTATTGGATCCGAGCACGATACAGCCCGATGGCCTACGGGGAAGTCTTCCGGGGTATTTTGAATATAAGATGCTTGCAACTTCCCGATTAGAGGTTTTAGTGTTTGGGATGACTATTGAGATACCTTACGTGGAATTAAGAATTTCGAGAACCAGGCATGACACTTCTCCTTTCTTCCTAAGGCCATCTAGCTAGCTAGTCTCTTACTTGCTTTTTTTCGTTTGGTCGCTACTGTGGTACCCCAAAACTTTCCATATGGGCGGTAAAACTGTGGAGCTTGTCTAAACGTGCACATTACAGCTAGAGATCTGGAGATTTCTGATTGCACAGATGCATTGATACTAGAGATGTTCTAGTTAAGCCACAAATCTACTTTCAGCTCCAGCTTTCTCGATCTCGACATTGCATCCTATTGCTTATGCATCTCATTAAGTGATAGGTGTGCGCGCGCGAAAAGTCAATAGATACTATGCCAAGTCATATAATACATATGACACAACAGCGCATAAAACTCCCGCCAGAATTGGTTCTTGATTTCACAAGGCCTGCCTAGGCTTTGACTACCGCTTCTAATGTCTGTCCTGGGCTCCAAAAATCAGAAAAAGAAAATAATCTTTGATTACATTAGCACCTATCAATGATTTACGAGTGCCAATATTTACACTTTACATTACAAGGCTTGCCGCTTGAGCAAGAAAGAAAGCAATTTCGCACTTACGTATGGCTACGATAAGAGTTGGAAGAAAGGGCATATCTCGGATCATGCTACTGAGGCAATACGTAGTCGTAAGCGGTAGTTGGAGCTGGTAATGTAGCTAGTGGGGTACGTCTATTACAGCTAGACACTTATGAGACACAGCTTGTACCTTGAGATTGGGTCCGTGATCATGCATGCGCGTATGGGAGCCCAATGATGTTATAGTTGGTAAAACCCGTTAGATCTGTCTACCGTTGCCAATGGCTAGGAAAGAAATCTCAATGGAAGCGCCCTCTCTAGCACATTTCTCTCTCTATACATTAATCCAACAAAGCTTCACGAAAAGGGAGATCCCAGGGGTCCATCTATTGAGTGAATTACTGAAATTCCCTCGGTCGTCATACTTCTAACTTAGTATCTGAGATATATATTAAGAAAAAGGAAAAGATCAAGTTATTCGCAAATCTCCGGGATTCTCTGGATGTTGTGGGTCCTACAGAAACGCACGATTCAGGATCAGAATCATTCTTTCAGCCTATGCCTATTAGAAGCAAGAGCTCATAGAAGTAACGCAATTGATTAGATAGATAGCAACACGAGATCTGAAACCCTTGGAGATTTGTTATGCTATGCCTAGACCTATATAGTTACATCAGTGGAGGTTTGTTCGCAGTATAGCGGAAATTTCAAGAACAAATCATCTTTACAGGGCGACAGTACATCATCAGAAACAAGAACGCGTGAGCTCGATCGGCATTCAGAAAAGTAACCACGGTATGCCAGATTTATGTCTTCTTGTCACGAGGGATATTACATTTCTAAAGACTAGATAGTGCCAGCCAAGAAAGCACTTAGACCATAACCAGCACTATCAATGATTTATTTGCGGGTACTGTTTCTAATTACACCTATGACTTTATTTGATGAACAACACCTGACTGACATATCATTCGCGCTCTCCAAAACATAATAAAAACAAATACATGATCTCATGGTTCGTACGCCGTACATATACTTCTAGATTATGGTGGCTGATCAGATCTCTCGATCCCGTAGATTGGTACGAATCTAGAATGACGTGTGGAAACCAACAAGATACGAAGGATCCGAGGTGGTCCCCATGGATATCCCAAATCAAGTTACTAGTAATCATATCAGCTTTAGATGTCTTGCACTTTCCAGAGTTAAACAAGGGCCAAAGACATGTAATATTTGCGTATGATATGCCACAAGTATGGTGCGCACCATATATATGTCAGAGGTTTAGGGAATATAAGTGTCTGCAATATTAGCTATGCGCGCACATAACCGCGAGCTTCAAGACATTCGCTGTGCGAAGCAATTTCTCCCTGTTTAACAAGACATGAACCCTCGCAATTAATGAAGTAATCAATGACATGAACCCCCGGCCGAGCTCGAGTGAGACATCATGACCTAGCCGAGCACGCGTGGGGAAAAAGTAAATTGCGTGCCGATAACGTGAAATGCGATAGCTAACCCGAGATAGAATAATCAAAGTACCAATGACTGGGGTTACAAAGTCTATGAGGGTGCGGGAGGATCACTATTGCTTTCAGCGATGGCGAACCTCCACCCCGCATTTTCTAGTACATTACCGCCCATACAAAAGATGCGAGCCAATGGTTTGCGGTTTGCTTCACATTCCACTGCTTACTAGCATGCGAGAAACTGGTGATAAGTGTGGGGCAGTCTAGGGCTGAGATGAGTTACTGTCTTGCAGGTAATATGTACATGTATGTAGGTTTATGTACTCGCAGCAGGTTACAAGTACCCGAAAATGCAAGCCCTAATCTGCAATTACCATTGGAGTAGAAGTCAAAAATACACCAAAACCTTGCAGCTACATTTTCGGGTATTTCAGGCCTGTTGCGAGTAAATTGGTGGCTGCACGTCCCATCTAAGCACCGGCAGTTTTTAAAACTGTACTCTAATTCACTTGATCTTGGTAAGACAACTTCAATCGCAACCCAAATCTGATTCAAGCCTAACCACACCTAACCCATCGATATGCAATCGACATGCTAAAATATGTTCTGAATTATCCTGTACAATGGCACAGACGCATAACCAAACCCCCTATAAAGATTACACCACAAGTTTACCTAGTACCTGTCGCCACCGCCAAATATGCAAAGCCCTCTAGTAAAACACAGATAGCCTATAAGGAATAAAAGACTAGCGCGTGTAGAAATATAAACCCCTCCCAAACATAAGTGATCGTCAAGTCACTTCAGATTCGTGTAATTCCTAAGACATCCGTCTCCATTCGCAGAAAAGTGTTGATTCTGAGTGTAAAAAAAGGGTAAAAAAAAAGTGGTATAATGGTGGTATCCGCCATAAAAGAAGAAAAAGGACATTGATGCAAAAAAAAAACCAGACGCTAGTTCTCATAAAAACTCCATTAGAGTGGGAAAAAGAAAACCAAAACCAATAACCTAAAACCCCAGCCCTCCCAAAGGAGATATATAGCGTACTATGCCATATCCTCATCCTTGAATATATTACAACCTCTGTGTTGATTTACTAATTCGCTCTAATACCGCTCTGCAAAGCCGCCGTATCCTTGGCTCATGCGATTACTATGGTATGTGCTGGGCGCATACTCGCTCTGCGCACCCTGATGCTCATAGATGGTTGCTCTTCGGTCCTCCTCCGGAAGCAGTTCCTTAACTTCCCATACGTTCGTTTTCGTGCCCACACTAAACTCGAGGTCCTCTTTCGTGATGGAGTCCCAGTACTATTACATCCGGTTAGCAGTAAACCAGTGGAAAGGGAGGAGAAGGGTATTACCTTGTAGACCATCATCACACCAAGTAAGTTGCAGATGGAAGCAAAGAATAGTCCGTCAAGGTAATGCGACACCTCATCGCAGATTTTGCGGCTGAACACATAGAGGAGCACCTGTCCAACCACAAAGAAGAACACGCCAAAGGTAATGTCGCCCATCGGCCACCTATCCCCGAGTGTTCCCACCACTAGTATGACCTGGCATGCAACATAGATGAATAAGAACAGTGCGTTGACCACGTACAACAGCACAAACAAGGCCATGGTGTTAGAGGGATCCAACCCCGCCCATGATTGGAAGGTACAGAGCGCGACTGCGCCAGTCACAATGAACATGACCAGGGAGCATAGGCGCAACAACCACACGCTGAGCGCCGTGCCGTCTTCGTACACCTGGAAGCCGATGAAGCCGTTGATGAGTAGGCATGTGCAGAGGGCGGACGAGAGACCAGCTTGAGCGGCGACAAAGTATGCGTAGGGTGCTGAACCGATAGGAACAACGCCAGAGTCGAGACAGAGTGAGATGACGGTGAGGAGCATAAAGAGGTAGAAAAATGTGGTGATCTCCTTGCGACCTGTTTAGGCTATTAGCAACACAGGCATGTGAAAGGGTCAATCAAATAGGGGGAGCTTTGTGGGAGACAAACCAACAGCGGTAAACTTCGAACGGACGTGTAGAACCATGATCGAGCACATGACGAGTGACAAAATGTGCACGAAGTCATTTGCGGCCTGGAAAATCATTGTGTTGGCCCATTCAATACTTCGTGAATAGCATAGTGCCTCGATTCCCGGTCCTGTGAGTGATTTTGCGCCATTGTAGGGACCGACGAGTGAGCACAGAGGTATCGGGGCAGTTTCGCATATTGACTGGAAACTTCCGAACGACATGGTGGACGTGAGGTGTTGAAGTTGACGCTGTTGTCGTTGTCGTAGGTATCGAGGAGGAAGAGTCGGTTGTGAGGTTTAGGTTGCGCCAAGAGGGGCTCGGGCGCTGTTGCTACTGCCAAAAGGAAATTGCGGGTTGTCGGATCAAAGGCGAAGCGACGAGGGGAAAGGAACTCTTGTCGCGGATGGGCAAAGTAGATACTCTGTGTAGATCTAGGGTATGCAGACTGCAGCAGCAGCTCTAGAAGGGGGCTAGGTAGAGAGAGTAGAGGAGTGCAGTGGGGGGAAGGGAAGAGAGGGGGAGAGGGAGGAGGCTGGAATGGAGAGATTGATCACCTCCTTCTTCTTCCTCTTTCCTTTCTTCTGGTTCTTCTTCCTTTGCTTCGCTTCACTTTTACTCTGTTTCCTTGTTTTCCAGTACAGTTCGTACCAGCCTCTCAGAATCTTTCAAAATTCGGGCGGTTGGGTCTGTGGTTGTTGTGGTTACAGGAATCTAACCAGCCCCTTGCATCTCTCTCTTCCTACGCCGCCTTTTTTTCTTTCTTCCCAGCCCAATTGTTCCGTGTTTACCTACACCACCGAATAGGTAGACACCCACAACCAACCACTCATTATCCATCCGGTATATGTGCTGCCGCCTGTTCTGCGTATATCTCTTCATATCCCTCTTCCCCAATAGGTAGTGTCTGAGACAGCTTGTTGCCTATTCTTAGCACTCATTCCCTCTCACTCGTCGTCTGGGTTCATCCCATGATGATGCCCACACCTGGCACCTGGCACCAGTAGGTACATCGCGCCAACTTATCCTCTCCGCAGACTAAGTCCTAATCATATCACTCTTGAAATCATTTGTCGCAATCTACCAGATCCTTCCATGGCCATATGCAATCGATTTTGCGGCGCCAAAAGCCTCGCAAGGCTACATCGCATTAATAATATATATGTAGCTACTCGTAGATTAGAGTAGCACTTATTCTAGAGCATGTACCTATGTAGTACGTACCAGAGAATCCCAAGTAATAACGCCGTACCCCAATCCTTCCTGGGTCGGTGAAATTACGGCACTTGCGACTTGATCCCTAGAAATTTTTATGTTCCTTTTGCCTGCCTAAGTAGGTATGTACATATGTAGCTTGTCTTTATGTGCTGTTAGATGGGATCGATGGCCTTTCAGCTTGACATTATGTGCGAGGACAGCTGGGTGGTAACAGCCAACCAATAGTGTTGTAGCTTCAGTAATGACCCGACATCTTGTCTGAGTCCGTCTTTGGATTGATTGGATATATTTCCCGCAATAAATAGAAGGATCCAATCACTTACCGGACTAGTCGTCCGAGCTGGCGGACAACTTTTCTTTTCCACAGTTGGACTACCAGGTATTCTAACGGCCTTGCATATTAGGGCATGCTTCTTTTTTGCTTCTCTAGCCCACTTAGCGAATCAGACTGAAGGCCGGGGGAAGAGGTATGCTATGCTATGCGTCAACCAAGCAGTCAAGAAGTCAATCCATCAATCAAAAAGTCACTTAAGTAGTTGAATAGTGATGGGTATTTCTTTTTCTTTTTCCCTCTTCTCTTGGCTGCTTTACTTTGTTTCAGTCTTCTTTCCAAGTAGGTAAACTCTGCATGCAAGTAGATATCCCTTTCCTTTCTTTTCCTTTTCATTGCCATGAGGTTTTATCATTTTTTGGCGGTCCCTAGGTCCTCTTTTGATTGCCGACCGGTACCTGGACCCTAGGCCGGTGGTTCCTGTATGTAATGTCCGGACGGCGAACCAAGGCATGTGCATGGAGGAATCCAGAAGAAACAAATAAGCAAGTAAACGGCATAGAATTGTATATCAGATCTTGTGACCACTGGCATTTAACGTTTAGCTCACGCCTAGGATGAACAAGAAGGGGTTATATGTAGGTATGGTGAGATGAGTATGAGATGTTGCATATCAACCATATCTCAGAGGATGAATGGGTGAGTTCATGAGTCTTAAGAGTTTGAAATAAAAACCCTTGAGACTAAGGGGCCATCGGCCTGGCCTATGACGGGGTCCTTGGTCTGAATAACAGGGTTACTGGCACTGCATACATACATACATACAGCACAGCATAAACGAGCAGCTGGTTACAGTTGTAGAGTTGTACAATGCTTCGGTAGTTGAAGGTGGGGTAGAGGAATCAAGGTCAGATATGTCTCGGAACCATATTACCGGATGAGTAGTTCAGTCGAGTCTTGTAATGACGAAGCCAATGTACTACATTGATCAGGAGGAGAAAGAGGGTTTTTTTTTTCAATATAAATGCGGGTTTCTTCCTCTAGTTGAATTCCTCTCTGTCGGGATCTCCAAATATCTACTCTCAGAATCAAAACCTAGCTCGAGCTCGGGTGCTTTATCTCGATACTTTCCGTTCGCCAATATATAAATCGAATTTTGTATTAACTCGCCAGTATAATATAATCTATTCTCAATTAATATCCATCATCCGAACCTCAGCCGGTTGTCTCGTGATCTTGATAAACAGCCCATAGGTAGGTTGAAAACACTCTATTAGAAATCCCTCATGACTTCGATTGTTACTCACGTGCAGGTTTTATATATCCATAGCCCAGATACTTTCCCCAGACAACGAGATGTGCGACTTTACCATTAACTACTACTACCACAAAAACTGCATGAGCCCTGAGAAGCACGCGGTTAAGCTCGACGGCAGCGAAGGAGGTACGAGTACTGCCACCGGTGTCTGTCGCGAAGGGCCCCACAAAATATTTAAGTTGGAACCTGGAGACTGCCCTCAATGCAAGCCAAACATTTAATTGGTGGTACATTCTCGTCAAAACTTTCTATCGGAATTATCTGTGTTGGCAGGTGCTGGATCATCATGTCACTAGAATGTTGGGCATGTTAACCGTGTGATCAAAAGTGGATACACGCCGGGGCGGGGTTTATCGACTGTGGGAGTATCGGTGGGGAGGGACAAGGAGAGTGAGAGGAGGGGAGAGAGTTTTCTTTTTCTTTTTCTTGTGGTTTTTGGACCTGTCATTCAGTATTATTACTCCGCGGTTTTGTTTTTATATGCAAGTGCATGCACATCTTATTCCTGTTTAACGTTTTCCCGGGTTTTCAATGCTTCTTAGCCTTCCTTGCCGTTCCGCTTATTTAATTTCCCGTATATGTGTGTCTTGGTATATACTCCTGGCTTTTCATTCGTAGTGTTCTTCCTATTTATCGTTAGCTGTACTTCGTACTTTGTGTTTTGAGATTTTGTTTTTTCAAACCCAATCTACTCTGTTCTGTCATATTCTCTTCGCTTCCAGTTTTTCCGATATCTGTTCGTTTATTTGCGGCCGGTGAGCTTGCTACTCCTAGGGGATGGACACGAGACTATTTGTGATCCTGTTTCCATAGCATGCCCCAACAATACTATTTACAAGTGACTTGAATTCGTTCCTGGCTCATGAGTGAGATGCCTTTCATATTTGGGATTGTCAACAATGATTACACACTATATTACCTACATAACCCTGTACCGAAGCCCGCATTTTTTGTAGCTGCATCTATTATGCATTAGGCGTATCATTTCTCCGCAAGTACGCAATGCAGGTTCAAGCGGAAAAGAAGGATGCCATGAGCGGCCCGAGCCCAGGACTTTGGTTACGGTGCGGTACAGGTGGGGCGTAAAATAAATAAAGGTTGATAAAGCCTTGGTAGTATGATTACATTGTTGCCAATCGGTCCGCCCAAAAAAAGCACTGTGCCAATGCGAACCTGTCACCATAACGGCCAATTGGCTGGGTTATAGTGAATGGATTAAAAGAACCGCAATCTTGCGTTAGCTCCTCAAACTAATTTGACAGCCTAGGCTGTACCCATACGGCTTTAATCGATGGTCCCCACCCGTTTATCGAGTAGTTCAGCTGGGTACCCCGCCCTTCTTCTATACACGTAACCTTGATGGGAGAGTAAACACTAGAGAAATAGGGTCTCATACGTGTTTACAAGTATATCGAAACATACTGTTCCTGGGTTCCGTTGTTTTACTTGAGATTGGGACCTATTGGATTAGCAGGGGTAATTGAGTCCCATCATTCGCCCTCCTTTTAGATTTTAGAAGCCGCCGCCGGGGGGAAGTACAAATCTCGATTGGGCCAGTATGGTGTAAAAGAGGCAACGATACACGTGGAAAGATGGATTGTGGAGTCCGATCTCGGTTGTGTGCTCATTATGTGCATACCATTGTCACTTGGTATGTCGCACAGATACCGATGCAGCTGATGTGTGGAAGGAAATTCAGAATCGGCGCTACAAGCGGCTATACTTTCTGTGATCTCTCTCCGACTAATACTTACAGAAACTTTGAGAGTTTCGAACCTGCAAATCTGACTGGAGAGTTATTGTTGGGACTGTCAGACATCCAATCAGGGTAGGGTCAAAGTATGGATAGCTCAGAATATCTTGAATATTGAACAACCATATCAGACCAGGCTTTTGCCTGCCTTTTCACGCATCTGAACCATAACACTCCGCCTATACCGCCTGTAATCCTTAGAAGAAGAAGAAAAGGGCCGGGGGGGTAGGTTCGGATTCCTTCTGTCCGAGTTTTTTCAGCTAGGAACCCTGTCCTGAACATGTACAGATATATTTGTTGAGGTTAGTTCTGGTTTTGCGCAGCCCGAAGATGGTCATGTACCGTTATTTCGGTGTCACTATTCCAGAAAGATTGGATGCTGGCGGGAATATGCGGGCCAGTTTATTATATTTCCCCTTGTTTATCATACGCTATGATATCCACGTGGACAGGATCTATCTGCAAGTCATTATCAAATGAGCCGATCGGAAAGTTAGCAACTAAATCAATAAATTACGGGGAAGCCTTCCAACGCATGAAGCAAGGGAATAAATGGCAGCAAGGGTTGGTACTTAACAACGTTGATTATTGAGACGAATTCGTGAAAATACATGTATACACGTACATATCTGGCCTACTTTAAAGTTGTGACCTGTGGGCAAATGTCTGGGGCCGCTTTAATTCCAACGCTGTTGCTTTGACTCGCGCTCCGTATGCAGGCCTCGATAAACCCTGACCCCTGCTCTGGCTTTCTCATGTGTCTGCAGTAGGAGAACGCTACAATCAGCAAGTAAACAGTGGTTGTAGTTGGCTATCTGGGTGAAATCTAGCTTTTGAGACGACATAGATACATGTAGCTGTTGTCGAGCGGGAGAAGTAATAAGCCGTAGAAGTCGCGCTTGTTTGTAGTTGGGTTTATTGTTACTATTTATGGACTAGGGTTATCAGCCCTGTCTCGGAGCCTGCTTCCGCAGAGCCTCAAATGAGCCTAACAGAGCCGCGCAGAGCCTCTATGTGCACGGGCCCTGGTTCCCTGGGTTGAAACTTTAGTGTGAATCAATCATGTGTTTTGGAGGAAAGGTCGGTCGAAAAGTAAGGCGAGCAGGATTACAATAAGAAAGACCTCACTAGCTTCATTTCTATCTAAATATGAGAGCTATATGTACTTGTATCCGAGTCCCAACGTCGAGTCTGAAAGGGGCCAGTCCCAGAGGAATGGGTCGCGTTTGACGGTCAATGAGATATGCACTTCGGCTTATGCCGTTGTTCATTATGAATTCATACGGTGATAGATTCTGCTTCGAGAATTACGCTTGGCAGATTTTTTCCCCCGCTTCCGTTTCGTGGAAACCTTTTTCAGAGGCTCGCGCGCGGTATATACCTAACGCCTAGAACAAAATCTTAAGACCAATCGAGTAGATAGAATAAGAGAGCCTGCCGTCGGGGTAGAGACTCTTGGCAGTATCCCAATGTCATATTTTTTTATTCTACAGAAGTTATCCCCCATAATCTACACCCCATTGTGTCGTAATCGTATTCTGGAAGTCCAAGCCATATACATATACGAAATAGCAAATATACATACATGTATGTAGGTGCGACTGTACTACATGTATCCCGTGTTTAGTGCGCAGCCTATCACTTCGCACAATTACACTTGATGAAATTGCACACGGTCAGACCATTTCTACTTCTTCTAATACATAAAAAAAGTTAATAGTGATAAAGTAAGGCCCCGTTCAGATGTCCTGGTTTATTCGATAAACTGCGATAAACTGGGCTCACTAAGCTACTTTAGGCACTTTTGTGGTTTTGAAAAGGTCCTGTACTGTTCGGCAACCAATAATCTGACAACGCTGGTTTATTGAAGAAACGCCAATTTGAAGAATCACCTCCTGAGGTGTTTTTCAAAACTCGTTAAAACTCTGGCTGCCGAACAGGAAAATGATCTGGAATAAACCGCATCTTGAATAAACTAAACACTTTAGGGTAATGAAAAACTTAACTCCAAAAAACTAGTTGTTGCAGCCGAACGAGGCCTAAATATACATCAAGAAGTATGATACCTACACGTATCAACTTTACCGCCCCGGGAAAGACAACCTCGATCATTCCCGCCTTGCATATACTTAATCCACCAGTGGAGATGATTGATAGAGAATACTCGGGGCAGGCAAAAAGTACCGGACAATGCAAATTTTGTCTCCGGGCTTTTTTTGTAGTAGTTCACGCCTAGCACGCGCGCCCATTAGTGAACCAAAAACCTGCATTGCCCGGCACTTTTTGCCTGCCCCGAGTACACATATACATATATTTTAAATCAAAATCTATTGCATTAAACACACCAAAGGAGATCAGCATTCCCATTCGCCCGGCACTCTTCACCAACTATCGAAATTCCCAAAGCCTCCGCCGCCCTTTGTCTTCTTCTTAACTGGCTCCTCATAGGTGTACTCGTCTTCTACCACACCCACAATCTCATCTTCCTCGCCAGCTGCTGCCTTCGCTGTTGCAGCTTTTAGATACTTTCCTACCCCTGTCGCCCCCTCGGTCCCATCAGCTTTTCTCCTACCATCCTTTAATCTTTTCCCAGTCCATGTAGTCATGTCATCCTCAGTCCCTACTCTCTTCTTCTCCTCTTCCTGCTTCTCTTTCTCCTGGTCCTCCGCCTGCTGTTTCAAGAACTCCTCGAACGGATCCACGAAAACAATAACTTCGTTGATGACAATATCCTTTATAGGCCGGTCACCCTCACCAGTAGGAGTAGTCTCCATTTTATCAAGTACCTCCAGTCCGCCAACTACTTGACCAAATATAGTATGTTTCTTATCGAGATGTTTTGCAGGGCGGTAGGTGATGAAGAATTGCGATGTGTTGGTGTTCTTCCCTTTATTCGCCATTGAAATAACACCTCTTGAGTCGTGCAGCAATGGACTTTCCCATTCATCATCAAAAGTCTTACCCCAGTAACTTTCCCCCCCGCGACCTGTTCCCGTGGGATCACCGCCTTGGATCATGAAATTCCTTATTGATCTATGAAATTTCACGCCATTGTAGTAACCCTTCTGGGAGAGCTTTACAAAGTTATAGACAGCCTTAGGGGCGTAGTCCGTGTGTAGCTTAATGTTTAAATTGCCGAGATTAGTCTGGATACGAGCGTAACCTTTGTACTTGATCTTCTTGGGCTTGAGCATGTACTCTTCATCAGAGAGAAGCGCACGCTCAGAGGTTGTGTGGACACTCATGGCCGTGGATGTAAATGATGCAGCAGCTTTTCCAGTGGTATGACGAGCTGCATTGTATGGGACAGCCGATCTGCTAGATGTATTCGACGACGATCCTGCGCCACCACGCGAAAGTGCGCTGGAGGAACGCGGTACGGCAGGATTGTGATTTGGGTCTGACGATTTTGCGGCGCGAGCTTTTTCAACAGCGGCCTTCGCGGCAAGAATCTTTGAAGAGGAGCCTGTAGCGGAGAGATTGATATTACTGAGTGGATCTGCGCGCTCGGCTTCCTGCTCTGGAGTCAAGGTGCTGGTCCCTTCCTTAAGGTATTTGAAGTTGCTCATATCCCGGTTTGACAAGTTATGGGGATCCTGTAGAGTGATTATATCTTTGCGACTGAATACATCGCCGCTGACCAAATCTTCCCAATGCTTTGGCTTGACGTTTAGTCGCTCTACCGTGTCCCAAGCGAAAACATTGCCGCTTGTTCGTAACGCGACGATATGAGTATTATCGGTAAATACTTTGAATGTCACCGGGTCGCAGTATTCGCCATCGTCGTTTTTGTGCATGTTAAGCTTCAGAAGCTCTCCGTAGGATAGCTTGCCCCCCGTGACGGGATTTGTTCCGTGCTTTTTGAGCCATGGAATGATGTTCGTGAGGTCGAAAATTGTTCCATCGGCAGTGCACACGGGATGTGAGAAAGGCTGAAGTGATAGGGAGCAGAAGTTGTAAGGAAGACGGCGGAAAGGGAGAGTGTTTTTGGAAGCGAAACCGGTAGAGGCGCCGAAATCGTCGCTAGCCCACTCGCTGTGCGTTATGTAAAGTTTATCGGTTCCTGTACAATCGTTAGCAAATCTTTCGCCAAAGCACAGGTAATCAATTATTTATCACTCACCTTTCCCCATTGTTGACCGTGTCCGAGACGAATCTGGGGAGAGCTGTGGTGTCGCGTGGAGGTGAGGCTTCAAGTTTCTGACCCTGACTAAGCAACACTCTTAGCTTAGGTTCGAATGGCCCTTAAGGCCTTAGCTTTGGTACAAAAACTTTTAAACCACAGTTATATAGTTTAGGAGTATTTCTAAGTTCGAATACTCTTTAAACGATGTCCATTGCAAATTGGTAATTGTAAGCTTGCAAGATCAGGTTACCAATCACGAACGGCATTGGGAGAGGCCACATATATGGCGAATCGACCGGCCAGCGATGTAGTTGCCTCGCCGCCGGACCCTCAATAGTGGGTCAGTCCCTGAGCAACATCTAATATGCTAATCGTTGGGTTTTATCACACCGTTAGCCTATATCTGAATTCAGTACAGGGCCAAAAGACTTCACCTTACAAAGCTTAATGGTGACTCCAGGCTTGGCTCACAGCTGCTCACTCGATCTTTCAAGCTTAGTGAGATAAGACCAGATCAAGACCAAGTCTCATCTCAGTCAGCTCCCTACTGGATAGGGAAAAGGATGGTGGAAATTAGCTTTAAGGGTTCTTTCATCAGCAGACACCAGAAACCCGCGGGACACATGTGCACAATGCAAGGGGACACTACACGTGTACAGCCACGGCGGTTTCTGGGCTTGTCTCCAGAAACCGAGTGGGGGCCGGGTGGGGGGCCTAGTGAGCCCATGGGGCGAATGCTGGGCGCGCATTTACCACCAAACCCCAAGACGTATTTTCCAGTGCAGTTGGATCCCCAGCCAGAGGTTTTCGGGCAGGCATCGGCCTTGAAAGCCCAAAGGTTTGCCTTCCACAGCATCCGAACCCCACCGTGTGGGGGGGGGGGGGGGGGAATTTTAAAAGGCCATTGACATTGCAAGCCCATAGTGGCCCGGCAGGGCTTTTCACGAGAGAAAGAAAGGTCGAATTTGTTTTATGAATCAGGGCCAAGGCCCAAAAGGACTTTTTCAACCGATAGGTACAGCTGTACAGAGTTACATACTTAAGGCGAAGGTGAAGAATCTTAAACAGGAGAGGGCCTTTTCATGCAAGGTCGGATAAATTCCGCAGCTTACGGCTATCAGAGCAAGAGGGAGTGCCAGCCGGCACGATCCCCCAACTCGTCAAGCAGGAGATTCGGGAGGTCCATACCTCATTTCGTATCAGATCAGTAGCGCGGGATTTTCTCTCGGAACTGTGGACCTTCGAAGCCTCAGCTGCCCTGCTAGTTGATATATTAATAGCCAGCGTCGAGCCTTTGCAAACCGCCCGAGCTATGCTAACCGCAGAAGAAGACACATCAGTATTAACCTTCCCTTCATCCCTATCCCCAGCCAGTGATCGTGAAAGTGCAGACAAGCAGATCGATAAACCAAAGGCCAAGGCTCATAGATGCTGGATGGCTCAAGGTTCTCCATCATTTGGGGTGATAGTGAAAAGTATACCTAGTGCGAAGCTATAGGGGGCGTAAGGTTCGTTGTCTCTCGCGGTTTAACTAGCCCAGCGCGTGGATCCAACAGCGTCCGGTCTAGCCGGTAACTTATACTTATCGCGAGTGATAATCCATGATGCAACAATTCCCTCCCGCTGGTGCATTCTATTAACACAACCCGCCCGATACGGCCGACCAGACAAACATCTAGAGATCGTATCAATACTGCGATTGGTCCAAGTTTGAAGACGTGCGGATAGCTGCATGAGAATATACATAGGGTAAGGGCAAGTCCCGGCTATTAGCCACTACTAATATTAGTAGTAGCAGTAGGAACAGTTGTCAAAATGGCTAGTAGCAGCTAGAGTAGCAGCACTAGCGTTATCTACTAGCACAAGTGGGCAAGTAGTAAAATGATGCAATAAATATCCTTTCCGAGATGAATGTAAGTTACTAATTGGGTACATACAAAAAAAATGACCTAAACTTGAATCCAGAGGCATAAAAACATCAAACTACGGGCCAGACCGAGCAAAGTACTAATGGAAAAACACAATAGATAAGAATGAAAATAAAAAAAGGGAAAAAATAATTAAAAACCGTCCCACTTTTTTTCTCTCCGAACCCCCTACTACGCTATGGGTTTGATATCGATACTTACCTGCCGGCGACAGAAGACCAGCACGCTTAGTGGTGCTTCTTCTTCTTACTGTGGTGGCTCAACAAGTTCGCCGCGATAGCTCCCTACACACACCGCGATCATTAGCCCGCCATTCCCTAAAACAAAACTCTCCGCTCTCCGCCCAACTCAATAAGAAAAAAAAGTACATACCCCTACCGCGCCTCCGACTTTCCCAAATCCCATCTTACTCCCAATGAACGCTCCCGCGCCCCCACCAATCAACGTACTGCCCAACCCCCTCTCTCCCTCCGCCCCCGGCTGCTGCTGCCCATACCCCGGCTGCGACCCATCCGCATACGCGCCAGGCCCCGACGGCTGCTGGTACGCATACGGGTCCATTGAGCCCCCGGGACCCTGTGGCTGATGATACATCGGCTGCTGATGCTGCTGTACCGCGTATGCCTGCTGCTGCGGGGGATATCCCGTGGACGCCGCCGACGGCGTAGCGGAGGCGGAGCGGCTACCGGCGTAGTAGTCGCCGCCGGTGGGGGGGTAGTAGGGCTGCTGGGGCGGCGGCGAAGTGTACCCGTATTGCTGCTGGGGCTGTTGGGGCTGCGGCTGCTGGTAGGTGCCGTATTGCTGCTGAGGGGGGTAGTAGGGTTGTGGGCTGGGGGTGGCGCCGTAGGTGTTGTCGTAGTAGCCGGTGGGGGCTTTGGCGTCAGGGGTGTAGGCGCCGTAGGGTTGTTGCGGGGGTTGTTGTTGGTAGGCGCTGGGAGCGGGGGAGCCGTAGGTGTTGGGTGGCGGGGAGTTGTATTGGCCCGCTGGGGGGGTGTAGGGAGGTGGTTGAGGGGCGCCGTAGTAGTCGGACATGATGGGTAGCTTGTTTTTTGTTTCTAAGATAGAGATGTGAGTATGAGTTTGAGTTTTTTCGGTGCTGTGTGGGCTGTAGGTGGAGGAACTGGAATAAAGTGTAGAAATATCGAGGTCGAGGGAAGGGGGGGGGGGGGGGGGTTTGGATAAAGAACGAGCGGACAAAGAGTGCGGGGTATGCACCTGTAGAAGATATGTGTGTGCTAGCTACTTGTAACTAAAACTAACGAGCAGAGAGAGAATCTGCCTATGAAGGCAGAGTAATATAGGTACGTGACGTCTAGGTAACGGTATCCAAATATAAAGGTGGTGTGCAGCCTCGATCCTATTTGCAGACTCGCAGAGTATTGTGTATGCAAGATGTAGGTACTACTGTAGGAGGTATGTAGTATGTATCAAGAAAGGCCGTTGAGATTCCAATTGACCAGACAGACAGACAGACGGATAGATTAGGACAGATAGATATAGACCAGACAGACCACCAGCCGTTGAGGGACAGATATGTCGACAGCCAGGAGCTGCTCCTATCTTAAATAAATTGCTCAACCTCTCTCGCCCCCGGTAGTTGCTGTCCACCGGTACGTACGGTAGCTAGAGTGTGTACCTACACACATACCTGTAGCCACATACCTGCTCTGCTGCTGCTGCTTTCACCCACTTACTAACGAAGCTGCGCACCACACATGAGGCGGAGCACAAAGAGTCGTCGTCGTCGTCGTTGCTGTGTCACATCATTTCACTTGCCCCCAAACTCGATCAGCTGTGTGCTCCCGAGCTAGAGAGGAAGGGATTAAAGGATTAAAGGATTGAGTAAAGCACAAGAGGTGAGACGAAGACGAATGGCCTGCTGCTTCGCCCCCCCCTAGTTTCGGCGTCAGTCAACCAGAGTAAAATATATCCCTCCCAGCCTTCTTCTTCTTCTTCTCCATCATCATCCCTCCGATCTGCCATCGAGGCTGCAGATGTGGAGTAGAGAGAGCACTTACTAATTACTTCCCTTGTTCTTGTGCCGGGAGTCTCTTGTCCCGAGCTGCACCACAGCAACACACTGGCATACCTTGCCTTGAATGAGATGCTGATAAATAAGATAAATGGATGTAACAACAAACAAAACTCCCTTCTCATCCTCCCGGCCATGCCCACCTGGTAAAGGAGTTAGGAAACCCGAGATCCGCGCCACGCCGCCCAGGAATGGTGAGCTGGTTATCGTGTCGAGTAACTAGAGTAGAGCATAGTGCCTACATACCTACTCTACCTGTAGAGACCCCACGCTTCGCTGGTGTATTAGATAAAGCTGGATAACAACATGATACTCTACCCCCCCCCCGTCTTAATTACCTACATGTACCTACTACAGAGTAGAGTACCTGGTCCTGGCACATGCTAAGCTTTGCTGCTGTCAAAGCGCACAGAGCTTCCCACGATTGGTACCGGAAATAAAAACTCGATGAGATATTTATGTACAGTCGGTCCCATTTCAATTTCAAAGTGCCGTCGACCCTACTCTAAAGTCTATTCTTCTTGGGTATAATTTACTGGTTCAAAAGAACAAGACAAGTCATCCAGAAAAATAAAAAAATAAATAAAAAAACATGCATGTCGCAAAACCAGACAAATGTACGGTACTGTAGGTAGCTTGGTATCATTCATTTTGCAAGTTCTAATAATTCCCCCCGTTTATAGGCCTACCTATTCCGCCGGAGGCTGTTGTCTACGAACCCTAAGAGGCCTATCATCTTCAGGCTCTCTCGCACCAGCTGCGCGGGACAGCTCTTGAGTTCCCTGTCTCATCTCTTCGTCTAGCCCCGTCACACGCACGCCGCTAGAAGAAACTCCACTGGTAAACCCACCCCTCATAACACGCCTCGCTCCGATCCTACCCCTCAATCCACCCCTCATACCTCTCGCGGCGCTTGAGACACCTTCGATGCCTCCATGACCCACGAAGGGCGGCGCCAACGTATTTACATCAACCTCAAGGTCACGGTTTGAGGATTCCTGAGCATCGGGAGTGCGTTCCTCGGGTTCAGTTCCGAAGAGTAAATCATCGGTAACAGGGAGAACAAGCGCAGCCGAATGCCATCCAGCTGCCGAAACCCCCAAAACACAATATTCTCTCCTGTCCAGGCGCACATCTTCTTCGGTGCCTTCCAATTTCTCTGTTGAAAGTGCAATTAGTCAGGGTTCTCGAGTCGTTGCGACAGAACTGCCCTACCTATGGCATCCCATTGAGGATTACCATCTTCCCCTCTGGGTGGATAACAGCTTTTAGGATGTGGCGGGTCCTGGAAGAACACTTCTGCAGCTTCATCAAGAGTCCCATTCTGCCAATGCCATACCACACCTCTACGTTCCGCTTCTCTAAGATCCCCGATCCCAAGGCATCCGCAATTCTGACTCTCTACACCCCAAGACAGTAATTTTCCGTCCTGTGTGACTGCGTGACTGTGGTAGTCGCCAAAAACTATCTGAGCAATTGTGCCAAATTTGTTGAGGCTGGGAATGGCTAGTGGTCTTATTTCGTCTTTCTCAGGAACTGGAACTTCTGGTCGACAGTTGTTTTGAACAGCTCTTCTGAGAAGGTCGGTATCCCCCACATGGACAAGTCCATTCCTATTGTAAACCGCAAACTTCTTGAAAAACCCCGAGATGCGGTCAGCCTTCTTATTCCTATATCCCTTTAGATCAAGGATCTCCTCATCCGTGGGTTCGTGCACGGAAAAGTGAGGAAGAAAGACTGGTGGTAAAACAGGGACTCCGTCCCTCTCCTCTATACAGTAAACCCTGCCGCCCGCAGTTACAAAAACAACAAAACCTTCAATAAGAATGAAATCAATGATTTCTTTTTCGCGCTCTAGGATAGTTGTCCTTTGGTGTTCCTGCGGATCAAGGATAGGTGGTGTAATTAGGCTCTCCTGGACAAGCCTACCATCCTCGCCTATGCCATTGGTACCGGAGATCCTTTTATCATGCTTCCAGATGAGAAGGCCATGTCCATATACCAATGCACCACTACAATCCCACCCACCCACAACCTTCCTAACTTTTCCAACTTCAGTGGAGCTTGAGTACGGATCCGATTTAATAATCCAGCTCTCCATAAAATTGATTCGTTTGGGAGGGTTATGAAGGTCTTCATAAGAGTAAATTTGACCCTCTACATCAAGAGCGATGAGGTGGTTACGGCCGGCAGAGATGCGTGCGATGGGGGTATCAATCATCATCTTAATGGCATGCTCAGAATTATCAGGCTGCCTAAACCCACGCTGCCCAGTCATCGACCCGTAACTATAAACCTCGCCATCGAAAGTGAGGAAATGAGTACTCCAACCGCTATAAGCCAAGTAATTAGCTTAAGAATGATGTTGCGTAGTAGTGAAGCTCTTACCCAGCCTTAATATCTACGACAAAAACATTTCGCAAAGTTCTAATCTCCAGCGGGATCCCAATGCCTCTGTGGCTTCTTGAACTAGCGGCGATTGGATACGAGTGGCCGAGCTTACCGAGAGCGTTTTCTCCCCAGGTGTAGGTGCGGGCTTTGGTGACTGAGAGGAAGAGCCGCATTGTCGGGACATCTTTGAACCGCGGAAGGTTGCTGAGACTGTATGGGAGCTGGATGGCATCTTCGAGACGTTTTTGCCAGAAGTAGTCTCGTTCGACGACACCTTTTATTTTTTTCTGTCTGAAGCATTAGATGGAACCATTTGATTGTTTGGTGATGGGAATAGTACACATATCAATCTTGAAGAGTTTATGACCTCTTTCCAGCCTATATATCCAAAGATATCATGAAGCAGCTCGGCCGCTAAGATGGAGTTAGCTACGAGTCAAGCATGTTACATCTAACATTATAGGATTGAAGCTTACGGAGGTCTACTAATGTCGCGGAAGTCATTTTTGAAGATGAATTATGTGCGGAAGAACGGTTTGAGGGTGTATACGGGCAGTGTAGGCCGGAGGTGATGATGGGTAAATACCAACGGTATTTGAGCTCTGGAGCTTTAAGCGGGGCAGATTACTGCCTAGCTCAGGACAAAGCAGGGGTGTGCAGGCATACGTCACACGGCTTTCCTGAGCCACATTCCATCTCAGGTGATAATACTCGGGGCAGGTATGAAGAACCTGAACATGAGTGTTGGCGGTAACGGTCTCTGGTTCGCGCATATTTTGAACTAACTGCAAATTGAATCCCTGCCTGCATATCTCATGTTCAGGTTCTTCTTGCCTGCCCCGAGTACTTTATGGTTTCGAGCATGGTTTGTTCCAGCCCTTGTCAACTAAGTAAGCTTGGCAGATGTGGCATGCCGTAGAACTGGACACCGTTCGAGTGAGTTGCTGTGCATCGAATTCAAAACAAGGACGACAAGATTTACATATACAGCTGCCTAGTTGCATTCCTTCCCTCTTGAACACAAATATATTGCTTAGACAAATGTTAATTTCTTTAGGCAGTGATAGACATGGAATTTTCTGCTTACCCTAGTTTTATTAGGTTTATACCAAGTCATCATACAATATCACTCGATTATTAGTAACTGAGAGCGAGGCCACGTTGTTTTTTTTGTTTTTTGTTTTTTGTTTATTTAATTCATTAATTATATGCAGACCGGGCCACGTTGATTGATTAGTTCATAAAGTACATTCAGCCTTCCAGCTATGGTACGAGCTCGAGTGAGGCCACGTCAATTTTAGTAACATTAGAAAGTGTAACATTTGCAGCCTTGGATTTCATAATTCTTTATATCAGAGATACGTGTAATTTCTACTTTCACGACCCCTATAAACTCAGTCTCCGGTGGAAATATTCCAATGAGAATAATAACTTAGTTTGCATAGAGAACTGGCTCTAGTAACCAATAAATACTCCCCGCCCGCGTTCTCTGAACAAGGACCATCAGGTCCCAGATCTCGACGGTCAAGCCTCAAGCTTCAAATATAAGCACCTAATGTACATGTATACAGAATCAACGCTCTACCTACTCTCCAATGTTAAAGTGAACCAACATCAATATTTATATAGCCAGAACCCTAGGCAGGGGGCACGAATACCAAAGATCTACCTTTTTATAACTACAGTAAGTAAAGTGCACTTTATAATTTACAACAAGACGCAGCTTTCTGGGCCAGTTTTCGGGCAGGCATGGCCAGTGAAACGAAGGAAGTTTGTTCTTTTTATTTATTTACATGCAGGTAAAAAGAGAAAATTGTACCGTTTCCACATTTCTCTGTCCGACGGATCCGTGTGAGTGTTCAAAGTCGCGCCCTAAGTGCTCCGCTGTTCGATGCGTGATGCTCGTCTATTAAGAAGAAAATACCCTACAGTAATTTTGTAATCTCCACATTACAGGGCAAGAGTTTTCGTTTACATACACGTCGTCTAGCTACGAGTTATAATCACGATGATCTTAACAAAACTGAATGGCGTATATATCGAGGTAAAAAGAAAAGGAGCTCAGGCATGAGAGATATAACGTCTTGATAACACGTGCATAGATACTTTCCTATTGTTATCGATATTGTTTTTCCCTCAACTCCAAACCATGCACTACGTAGTGTTATATCCTGTATTTTCGATCATTGACACTTCGCCAGAACCAATGTGGGCCCTTATGAAACATGCGAGCTTTCCAAACCGGAGCCCATTGACTCAAACTAGTTCAAAATACGTATGAGCTCACTCGCAGACTACGCATGACTGTTTGAGTCTACAAAGTTGTGTAGGTATCACCAGAAGCTACGCCCAAACCCCAGCGAAAGGAGGAGTAAGCTTCGTGACCCAACACCCTACCAAACCAAGCCCAACGCAAAACACACGGCCCATATCCTTCCTTACTTATCACCATCATCAAAGCGAAACCTATGCGGGAAATCTACCCTCGTACCCACACTCGTAGCACTAATCTACCGCAGCTCGGACAATCAGTAACCCTGCGTTCAGCCCTATCTAGTCCCTCTTAGCAGTCCCACCAAATAATCCCACCCCACCCCACCATATCACAGCATATCGCTTTTCTTTTATCCACTGAACCACTTCATTGCCCCACCATAACATATTATACCGCTTTTTCTTCTATCCGCTAACTATATAGTAGGCACGATCCCATCCGCTGAGAGGAGCGAAGTTTTATAGATGAAAAAAAAAAGTGTCTTGATTGGGTGATAGTCTCGTGACCATCTCCTAAGGGTGCTGTCCTTCCTACATCATCCACACAGCTTCACTCGTCTCTAACATATCTCATTATCCTCATCACCATCTCCCTCCCGACCATCTTCTGTCCGCTAACTCTGAAGTCAGGCATGTTCAACTCCACCTAAATTACACCGCCGAGCGCGCAGACTACTCACCGAAGAAGGTATTTTCCATACCGTAATTACCCACTAACTTCCACCCACTAACTTCCACCCACTAACGTTGGCCAGAGCTAGCTGGGAATTCTACTCTATGCCATCTTTTGAGGCGTTTGCGTCTCTTCAGGTCTTGGCTTTGGTTTCTTGGATTTGGGGCTTAATGTTTAGGCTTTGGACTTCTTCGGAGACTTGAGAAAGCGGTAGGTATGATCAACCGGATTGTGTTCCTTTTAGCATATCGTGCTTACGTCTGTGCGTTCTTGTGGGTTCATTGAAATTTCGGGGAGCTAGACCCTACGTCTAAGAGGTTTAGGGTAGCCATCGAATACCCACCGCAGCAAGTCAAGCGTAGTTTTCCACAAGAACACTAGTCGTACTTGACAATAATCTACTACGAACTAGTTGACCTTAATTAAGAATAGGCCGAGTTATTGCGGATCAGATTTCGAGTCTCTGTGGAAAGCCAGGTTCAGGACTCATCCCACAGAAACAGCCGCGGACAAAACTTGAAGCTCCAAGGATTCAAAGTAAATTGGTACCCAAAGCAACCAAGCCTAATATCATAATGTCAGAGATGAGAAGGGGTACAGGAAATTCAGAGAGGAAAAAAGGGCCGCCGCACAGAACAAGGTTTTTCTTTTATGGGGCATAAACTGAGCATGTTCCTTCGTTCACATATATTCCACTCGTGTGATGATATATGGGCAAGTTACGTAGATAAAGTTGCTATTATAAACTTATAAAATGGCACAGACGAAAGAGAAATTTTATTCTCTGAAATTGGATCACATAAACTCACTCGACCTGTCACGTGAGAGGTTTTTTGGGAAGTTTCGAAGTCCAGGACGAGAGTACTATGGCCGCATCCAAATACGTCCTTGAAATTTATAGCACCCCATATATATAATGGTCTAATCATTCCCGTTCCCCTGTTAATCAATAGCACCTGTGCCTAACGCGGAGTAATACCGCATCTCTACAGCTATTTACTACGATAATAGCTGGTTTGACCTACAATTGTTAATATTGTTCCCCTTAACCGCGGTTAAACAATGACGAACTACCTTATAGAAAATGTGATTGGCGAACAAGGTCAAGCGGCATCGTACCTTTGCTTCAAGGCAGGGCAGGGCAATACCTAGCTGGAGCCTATAGGATCGAAGTATCTCGAGTGATATGCAACACCCCGTGGTCTATCTATCGCAACCTCAGTATTAAGCTAAGAACCAATACAGTCCCAGTAACTTTTCCTTTCAACAATTAGCATTGCTCGCCCTCTGTGGAGATGCCAAGGGGAGAAAGTTGTGATCGATCACCGATGCTTGTAGCCAAGTATCGAGTGCACTTCCGGAATTCGGGGTTTCATGTATGTAAGCTTCTCCTCCTCCTCGTCCTCCTTTTTCTTGATTATCCTTAGCCTGATTAGAGAGGAGGGGGGGGGGGGAGGGAGAGAGGGAAGGGAGAGGTAGATGCGAGATTCCAGTCTCGTGCTCACCATCAATACCTACGTCCACCCCAGCTGTCGAGTCACCTCGCTTTTTCTTCCATTCATGCATGCAAGCAGGGTTTAGTACCCTCGTTAGCACACGCATATTTGACGGGTGGGCGGAGGCGGGGTCTTGCGTACGCTGCCCTCATCCTCCTCACTCTACTGCATGTCTAGCTTCTATCAACTACATATGTGCATGGCATAGCACCTACTCTACATCGCTCCCTCGCCGACAAACCCGTCCCGCCGATAAAACCGCATGTATGTTATGTCGTTCTGTACCTACGCTACAACAAAAACCCACTCCCGCCGACAATCCCGCCCCCGCCGCCGACAATCCCGTGCTCTACATCTACCAAGCAACACGATACCTACACTCGCCGACAAAACCGCACCTCATACCCCCCCACCCCTCACCGACTAACCAGTACAAAAATAAAATATAAAAAAAAGACCTCGGCCAAAAGGAACAAACCGGGACCTCCCTTGCCCCGTTATCATCATACACGACGTATACATCTCCAACACCTCACACATCACACATCACACCCCAAACCTCACACCTCGCACCTCGCACCTCAAAACCCCAAAAGCAGCAGTAATAGCGGAACATATCGGGCCCCCACCCCCCACACGCACCCACACCCGGTCCAGATGGCAATGCTTAAACCGCTGCAAGGTTCCTCCCCGAACTTATCCGAGAAACAAGGTTTTTGGGGAAACATGGGGAAAAAAACGGATTACTATGCAGATTTGCAGACAGACTTGCAGGAATTGCACATGTTGTTTTCCCAGTACGGCGGGAGTCGTGCCAAGTCTCGGTAAAGTACGTGGAATCAAGCTATTCTAGATATCCCTACATACATGTGCCTACACTAGAGAAAGCTTGCGTTGGCGGCGTTGTCGGAGGAAGGGACGCATGATGCCTAGGTGAGTCTTCTCTCCCTCGATGTGAGTTGAGATCTGGCCTCTTTTTTACCACTGCTGTTATTTTTGGGCTGGCATGGACGGGTGCTAGAGCTCTGTGGGTGAATTCGCCCCAGATGCGTTGTCAGCTCCCATAAGAACCGAGAACTTCACAAACTCTCACTCGAACACATCGTTAGATCCATGAGGAAAGCTCATAACTATCACCCTATAATGTAGATCGTATTTCCTTACCAGACAATCACTAGTATAAAAGAAAGTAGATACAATTACATTATACAAAGAAGAAGGAAAAAAGACCCGAGACCCCTAACCGCTCAAACAAAAGTATAACGTGGAAATCTATCTATCATAATGACAAAGTAAAACACGCCCCCCCTTTTATGCTTTCTGCGACCTTGATAAGAACGCAATATGGTATGGAAAGCGCAAATAACAAAAATACACATCACATAAAATATTCAACCAGATCCCAAACAAAATTGGAAGAAAGCTTTTGTGAACACCCAATTATACCCAAATAACCCAAAAGAAGTTTACTCTCTGTGTGGCAGAAGATTAGATGCGGTTCAGAGCTAAAGAATGGAAATAAGAACTAACCTTGAGACATCACGCCCAAAAACCTTAACCTTGAGCCAATCCATGAGCACCAAAACACGGTTTCTTGTGCTAAAGCACATGGACAGGTACGCTGATCTCCAGAAAAGGTATGTCAAAGAACCACCGGAGGCAAGCTATGAGGGAGGTGAGTAAATAAAATCTAAAATGCCGGGGGCTAAAGGGCACTCACGTTTCCATTGAACCAGGTGATATCTGCAACCGCCTTGTCCATTCCAATGTAGGCCAAAGACCCCTGGTGAGAGTACTCGAAGGGTGACAGCTGCTTGACCTTACTGATAGCCTTGCTCTTCTTCTGGATTTCCTTCTCCAAAGCTTCCTGGTCCTCGCCCTTAGATTCCTTGGAAAGCTCATCCAAGTGGTTCAGCTCAGTCTCCAAAGCTTGGGTGCGGGCCATTGTGTTGAAAAGGCGAGCCAAGAAAGCGCCCTGTTGCGATGCGACCTGAGCTGTGGGAGCATACTTGGTTGCTGAGCAATCTCCAAGAGCCCAGATTCCTTCAGTTCCATCAACGACAAGGTATTCGTTAACGGCCAAACCACGGCGGGAGTTCTTCTGTGGTGGGAGCTGTCCCATCAGGTCCCTGATAACATTCCTTACAGCGTTACCCGTCGCCCAAACCAGACATCCGTAGGGGATGATCTGCTTCTCCTTGGTACCATCGGGCCTGGTCACCTCCGCCTCGATGTACTTGTCCGTCACATTCTTAACCATTGTCTTGGTTCGGACATCGATCTTCTCATCCTTGAATGTCTGCTCGGTGTATTCGATCAATGTCTTGCTGAACATGGGCAATACCTATCGGACGAATTAGAACAGTTGTGAGTCACACAGGAGGTCATAAAACCCACATTTGGCAGAGCTTCAACAAGGGTGACATGGAAGTCACCGGTAATTCCCGGAACCCATTTCTTGAGATCGTCCTCAAAGAAATCCTGCAGTTCGGCGGCGAACTCGACACCAGTTGGTCCACCTCCGACAACAACCTGGTAGATTTAATAAGCACACCGCTCAAGCTTCACGATAATAAACCGGAACTGCAATATGTCTCACCATGTGAAGAAGACGCTCCTTCTCCTCCTGCGTCTGGTCCTTGAACATAGCCGTCTCAATGCAGTCCATAACCTTTTTTCGGATCTTGTGGGCGTCATTAATCTCCTTCAGGAAGCATGCATGCTCTCTGACTCCCGGAATGCCTTTTACACACAATCCCAAATATTAGACCAAATCCCAAAAATCCATAGTCACATGCTAATCCATTGACTTACCAAAGGTCGCGTTCTCAGCTCCTACACCCACGACAAGGTAGTCGAAGGGAACCTCAGTCTGGTGAATCTCTCCCTTCACGTCCGAATTATCATTGATGATAACAACCCGGCGGTCATTGTCAATCTTGGTTGCCTCGGCCTCGTAGAACTTGACAGATGCCTTCTTGTGACGCAGAATGTGTCTCAGTGGCTCCATAATACTGCGGTGCTCCACAGTTCCGGTGGGACAACTGGGAAGCAAAGGGGTGAATAAGAAGAAGTTACGTGGTGAAATGACGATGACATTGTAGTTTTCGGTATCCAACTTCTTGAGAAGGGCAACGCTTCCCCATCCAGATCCTAAAATTGCAAAATATTAAATCTATGACTCGAATTGGCTCTCCAGAGGAGAAATCAGATTCTTACCAAGAATTACAAGTGTCTTCTTTGTTGGGTCAGGCTCGGTCTGTTCCTTAGGAAAACGAGTCTCGTAGATGGAGTAGGCCAACCAAACGGTTCCCACAATTGCAAGTGTGTAGGTTCCCCTCCATGCGTACTTGAAGTATCTAAACCTGTTCTTGGGGGCCTTGTTCACTGGGGCAGGAGAAGCCTCTGAAGCGTAAGCACGCTTGAACGACGAACGGGCAATCTGGTTTTGAACAGAAGGCTTGAAAGCGGCCGCCTGGCGTTGAAGAATTGTGCGAGAACCGCGCGAGGCCAATCCCGCGGCCGCAGGGACAGCTCTGAGCTTCATGGTAGAATACATCATCGTGAATTAACCTTTTGCTGAGGAATTACGGTAGTGAGCGATTGTCGTGCCAGACGGACAGGCAGAAGGCGACTAGATGTTTTACCTGTGGGGAGAAAAAAAGGTGACGGAGGAGATAGGGGCAGTAATATCTAGAAATAAAGGGAAAAGAAAGGAAAGAAAGGGAAAAAAAAATGGCTGTGAAATCAGTGATATGAGAATTAATGAGAATGTAACCCCCACCAAGAAGAAAGTGACGGCGTTGCTGCTTGTGCTGCTGCTTGTGCTGCTGCTGCTTGCTGCAAGACACAACCCAGATCTACCCTCCACACGGGAAAAATTTTACCGGGAGAAGAAAAAATATAATTTGGCCCACTCCGGTCCCCGGGGAAGAACCCTTCCATCCCACACCCTATCCCATAGAACCCTTATGTTCTTTGCTCTGTTTCTCTAGATCTCACTCCCGCGCGCATCTCTAACCTACGCTCTCTACAGTCCGAGTTATCTCCCTCACTTGCCTGTCCTGTCTGTCTGTTCCCTTCCGTGCCTTTACTCATCGGCGTCTTTGTTGCTTCCCGCCCGTAACACCCTCCCCCTTCCAGGCTTCTGATATTTGTTTTTTTCCGATAAGAACAGGAATGCCCCTCCAGGCCCCAAAAAAAGGGCGCCTAGCCGTTCCAGTGCACCGGATAAAAGAGGCTGAATCTGGTCCTTCGAATCATGTGTGGAAGGGGAATCTGATAACCCAAGCCAGCCTAGGGCCTAGAAAATGCTCCGTAGAACTGACGTAACTCTCCTCGGTAAGCCTCTTCCATCGGCGGCGGCGGCCAACCACCACCACTGCCCGTGCTAAGGCATCAGGTACATAAAATGCACACAACCGATTATCCCCTTCCCCTTCCCCTTGGTTGGGGCTCCACCGAGAAAAAAGAAGTGAAAAACGTGCTTCCCGTTCTACCCCCGCCAGCGTGATTTTTTTTCTTTTACTCAGCCAGGGAGGAATAATCAATCCATCTGCCTCCTGCCAGCTTACGACTTCACCCTCGCCTCCCGTCTGGTATCGAACGAACAACAAGACAGAAAGCTATGGAGGCAGGCAAAGTTGAAAGGGGGGGTCCGGGAGGATCTTAAACAAGTCCCTCAGCTTAGCTACTCTCTGTACCTACCTCGTGGAAGGACCAGCGACCGGCCGGCAGGGACCCCAAAAGCCCCCAACCAGGGCTTCGGGCGACGTTGATTCGCGATCCCTCCTGACTGACAAAAGTTACCCTGCTCTCCGCCGGTTAAAGTCGATACCTATCTTGAGTTTAACCGCTTCACAGCTTATCACCACGTCCCCCAAATCCGGAGTGGGACCAAAATGACATTTTTTTTTCGCCCTTCCTACTCTCGCTTCGACCTTCAATGGGATTGGCTGGATGGATGAATACACAAATCCGTGTAATTTCCCTTTGCTGCTGGTTCACGGGAAAATGGAACTGCGGAGGAGGGGGAGGCATATATCACGAATCTCCCTCTGGCCGGTGGTTTGAAATGGCTGGGACTGATCACACGCCCCTCCGACCAGCCCTCCTTTTTATGCCCCAGTCAGATGGTACCTCCCATCAGGAGCGCTCCCGGAAATTTCAGTATCTTTCCTAGAGGGACTGGTTTGATAAACGGAGGTTCTCATACAATTGATAACATAAAAGGACTCTTCGTATATCACTTAGTTGAGGGAAGCTCCCGGCCAATACGGGGCTTTATATCAGGACGATATCGGCGATAAGCTAATCTTAATTCTAACTAATAAGTAGATTAGATCGAAGTTTGGGGATTTGAATGATTGGGGTCCCAATCATGAGTGCCGTGATCATTGTCTTGGCACATGATCATCATTATCACAAAACCAATCTCCAATGGATCCACTAAAGAAAATGGGTTCATCCGCAATAGAAAAACCGTTTTTCAAGACTCGGGAGCTTCACTCAGTAATTAGCCAGGTTGGGATCATCAAGAACGACAGTCTGAGGCAAACAAAATATCTTCCAGAACCAATACTTTTTAGGGTTCAATTTTCTGCTTCAGATGCAGGGATTTTACTTCTAAATAATCATACATAAGCTTTCGAGGTATTCCCACCACCTTCCTTGCCATCATCCCTTCCCTTGCATAAAACAAATAAACTCCGTTTCCCTATGCGACCTCTTGAGCACCAGAAATATACAAATTCCCCAAAGCAATTAAACAAAGCAAAAGAGGATAATAATACACAAGGTCGAAAAAGAAAGAAAAAACGCAACACCGGAAAGCCGCATAACACAAGGTATCCACTAAAAAACGAAAGAAAGCCGCTTAAACATTTCAAAATCAAAATAACCACCCAATCCTGTGTAATGCAAATATGTCGAGGTTGTCCTTATTAAGGATATGAATAATCAACCGCCGACAAAATATAAAAAAAGAAAACTAACAAAAAAGGAAATGACCGGATTTCCTTAAAAACTGTAATCCGGGTAAACGACTGGCCAGGATTGTGGCCAAGTTTCCGTCTGCATATATGGAACAGTCCCAGTCTTGTACTCAGTTCGTGGTTTACCCAACGGTTGGTAGTGCATCTGGTCGTAGCAAAGTGCTGGCGGCTCGGCAGAAGTCGACGGCGGGGGCACAAGAAGTGTGTTGACCCCACGAACAGGCCTGTATGGAGAATTCCTGTTTCCAAGAATCCAGTTAGGCGATTGCTGCTGCGACGAAAATCCCGGGGTGGTCGGCGACGAGGCTGCAGAATGATGAATGGAGTTGTGTTGCGAGTACGGGGAAGTATTTCTGGATTGTGATCCATAGTTCATGTTGTGGCTCAATGGGCCAATTGATACCGGTGAGATCGGTGGGTGGTTGTATACGCTCTGCATAGCACGTGTTCCCGGCAGGGGTAGCTGATTCGAAGACATAACAGGGGCCAAATTGTGGTGTTGGCTGCCAGAAGTTGAGGGGAAAACATTGATCGACAAGCGGGGAACCTGCTGCGACTGTGAAGGTGTAGACAAAGGAGTCAAAAGAGGGAATTGTGTCCCGGAGGTGTTCAACATTGGCCCCATTGACCTTGTAACCCTCTTTGTCGGCGGTTGCATCCCAGCTGCTGAATCATATGGTCTCTTCCTCGACAAAGCCTGGAAATCAGGTTGTGGCATTGGTGTTATTGGCGAATGAGCCGGCATCAATGAAGGCACACCCAGTTGGTGGGAATATCCTGGCATTGAAGTCGACGAAGAATATGGTGGAGATGAGCTGTTTGAAGGTGGCGGTGAAGGCAATGATGGCGGAACAATCGGTAAAGTCGGTGTAATCGGAGCCGGGATCCTAGAACCAATCTCAATGGGCGCCCTTTGTGCCCTGTCCCAAAACGCCCAGAATCGACCCAAAGTCGTGTGCCACCCATTCCAATCCTCACTCGACACAAACAAACTATATCTCATATTACTCAGGAATTCTACCTCCATGATGTGAATCTCCTGCACTGAAATCCCAGAAACCTCAGCCCAAGTCTTGTTTGTGTACGTATTATCGTCCAAGACTAATTTTAAAGTCAGTAAACAAAAACGGCTAAACCCGAGGCGATCGTTTGAGACAAGTACTCACACTTATTTCCCAACATCAAAGCCACGGTGAGCAGTCTAAACTCGCTACCGGGCTTTCCCTTTACAGAAGGGTTACTCTTCTTCAATCTGTAAATGAACAATAGCGCGAGTAATATGACGTTCTGTGACACCTGTGTGGTAGACAGAATAGTTGTGACCCATTTTCTAAATCCTAGACTTGGCATGGCGTCGGGAGCCAGTAGACCTTGAGGAACAGGGGTAGTGGAAGATTCCGCAACTCTTTGTAGAAGAAGCGAAGATTCAAACCAAAACAAACATGTGATCTATACCCCGGCCAATATTAACTCACGCTATCACACATAGTACCTGGCTGGACCAATGATGACAAACCTGTGCAGCGAACTCGGCCAAATTGGCCTTGGTGTTGTTTATCGAGGCCGGCACTGTCATCGACGCCGCGGCATTGCTCGTTGAACTCCTCCTCTTTGACGACGATGGCTGCTCGGGATGTGCAATGGAATTCCTCCTCGAGATCGGCGGGCTCTCTCTTCGCCGGGCAATGTAGTTCTGATTTGACGACGACGACTGAGTATTCGACATCCGGAAGCTGTCCAGTGATTTTGGCACCCCGTTACCCGCAATTGGAGGCTCAAACTGTCGAAGCTGCTGGCCATGGTTATACGATGGAATAGTGCCCTTGTACCCTGAAGCCATATCTGGTGGTGGTGTTTGAAGCCCCCGGCTCACCGACTGTGTTGGCTGGTATCTTGAGGGAGCCCCCGACGATATGGAGTATCTTCGTACATTTGAACCTAGACTTATGGGTGATCTTGGAGAGTCAAAGTTATTGAAGATACCGGCCGGGTGAAAGGAATGGGGACCTTCGAGAGGTTGGTATGCTGTGTGAGGATGCATGATGTGGGGCCGGACTGCGATGTTCAACATTAAGATGGATGGATGGGGGGGTGGGTGGATTGATGTAGTTGTATATTTTTTTTTGTGTGAAGAACCAGATATTGTAATGTACACTTGGGGGAGGATAGGATAGATAAATATAAAAGAGAGAACGTCAAAGAAGAAAGGCCCGGCTATGGTAAAGTATTAAAGTAGTACCGAACGCGTCTTAGTTTAACCCCGCAGGCAGACAGGTCCCCTGGTGATAAAGAGTGAACCGCTATGGCCTCGTCAAGACAGGCAGGCAAGCCAGCTGAGCAGGGAAGAAGTTGTAGTGGCGCGTAGCCCCAGAAGTAGCTGTGCGATGGATGGGACTAGCGGCGAGTAACCAGTGCCAGAAGTGCCTCTGGTGTATGGTGGAGTGCGTGGGAAATGGAAGCGGAAGAATGTCAGAGGGAGAGCCCAGTGTATGACCCGGAATTGGGAAAAGTATTGGCGTCATGGCATGGGGTTCAATGTGTGGGAAGGAATTATATGGAAAGGGCTTTCGTCGAACCCTTGATGTAATTATGGAGATAGATGGGGCTTTGCCACTACTAACTATTACAAAGTCAGCGGCGCGTGCCGGGCGGAGTGAGGGAGGAGGGCATGGACATGCGCGTTCCGCTAAGCTGTGTGCGTCTGTATCGCATTGGGAAAAAAGGAGGTGTGTGATTTAACTCTTGGGCAAATTATGTTTGGGGGAATTTGAAAGGAAGGAAGAGGCTGGTTGGTTGGTTAAGATTTCTTTTGGGGGGTGGAAATGGATGTGGATGGACGAACTAGGGGATGGGAGATGCAGGAAAGGGAAAGGGTAAGGGTGGGAGTGTCTGTTGCAGCAGGCATCCTGTTGGGTAGAAAATCCCAAGTGAATTTCGATAAAAAAAAAGGTTTTAAAAAAATCCAATCCGGAGAAAAGAGGGAGGTGGTAGGGATATGTGGATTTGGGGGGGGTAAGAGGCGTGTATCTGTCCAATGATGTGAGGTATGTTGAAGAGAGTAATGGATGAGAACGTATGATTGAGACTAACGATGAAAAAAAAGGTCTCTGAAATTTATTGATTAGGTATGTATGTATGAGACGTGTGTGGGTTGGGTTGTGTGAGTGTGTGTGATTGTGAGTGAGTAAGTGTGTGTGAGTGCAATCGGGGGAGTGTATGGATGGGTGATGGGAAGGGAGGAGGTTGCTGTTTCCTGCTTAGTCCTAGTTAGCCCCCAACAGCCAACGCCAGATTGTGAAGGAATGCCCGATACGACACCAGCAGTCTCTGTCACTCTTTCGCTGGGTACCTTTTTTTGGTGCCTTTGTCACAACGAAAGACGAAAGACGACAACGTTGCTCTTTGTCAACGTTGTCGTCGCATTTTCATTCCGTTGTTCCCCACTCACTCCCACTCCTTCAACATCATGCTACTTACTTTACCTACCTAGTCATTCATCGGTTCAAGTCTGCATCAGAGCTCCGTGCTCGCGATTTTTTGTGCCCAACATCCCCATCATCCGGACAAGGACACAAACCCAGCAGGCAGGTGCTAAAATACTCACTCAGCGTACAAGTTACGGTCAGGTTTGTAAGGATGGTAAGCCCCACAGGAAGCAAAGAAAAAACGGGGCACAGGTGGTTTGTAAAAGGAAAAAAAAAAAAAAAAAAGCAGTGCCAGAGAGTCCTCAGCAGCAAGTAAAGCAAGCACCGGTTGTTGCAGCGATGCTGAGTGTCTGCGCCGAAGCAGGCTTTGATGGTTGTGTTTCTGGCTAATAGTTTGGGGTTTCCGTTTTTTCCCTTTTTGCTTTTTTCCCCTTCCCTTCTAGGTTTCTTTTTCGTCCCTTCCCCTTCCCTTCCCTGGCCCATTTCTTTGTGGTTTGGCGTGCATGTAACGTGACTTGCGTGCAACCTACATGAAATATCTAGACTTCCTTCCAGGGTACTTTCCGAGCTTGGTAGAGTACGAGCAGTGTCATGTAGGTACCTTCCGGGAACATGACGCAGGAATAATCATCACTCGGAGCAGAGGGAAAGTGAAGGACAAGCAGGAGACAGGGAACTCCAACTTGCAATGTGGTCATTCGTGATGGCCTGGCTGGAGGAGTACAAATTTGAAGAAAATCAAAAAGAAAGAATAGGTCAAGAATCGCGATGAGCGCCGCGAACTTGAATTCAGTCAGTCGTCCTACCGAACGAGATTTCACTAGGTAAGGTAAGGGAACTCCCGATTCACCCAATCATGCAGCAGCAAGGGAGCAAAGAAAGAAAAGCGATGCACGAAGCCAAAATTGTCGGAATCGACAAACCTAGCCCTCCTTCCTCACGTTTGACCAGCTTCTGGATCCCTGGTTCATCATTTCCATGTCTGGCCTGCCTACATATCATACAACAAATGAGAGCGGAGGGGGAAGGGGTAGAAAGAGCTGGATTGGATTAATAGCAACTTGAACACAGCAATAAAATAAAACAACAAAGAAATGGAAATAAAACAATGCATACCTGCCCCAGTTATACATATTTTGTTTTATTCCTGTCGCATCCGTTTAGGTACTCCAATCGACTGACTGATATAATTGAATCTAGAAGTATGTTATGCAGATACTGATAGTAAGTTGTAGTACCACCACCATCTGTAGGGCATGGTTGCAGCTAGCAGCAGCAGCAGCACCGGACGATTGGTCTTTGGCCCTTTGTTGTTGAGGTGGTGTGTGCCAGGGCGGAGAACTGCCTGCCCTCCCTTCCTTTCTGCTGGCTGTTTTTAGCGTTGTTGCCACGGCGTTAAAACTGGGCCCAAGTTGCAACCTCGATTCCTGATGATTCGGGTCGGCAGGAATGGATGGATATGATGCTCAGAAGACTTTTTTTTTTACGACTCTTTCCAGTCACTTCCTTTGTTCGCAGGGAAGGGGCTGAAGAGTTGAGTTTAGGGGAGGATCATGAGTGGATCACTGAAGAAGGGCAGGACCGGCGTTCCCCCCATACCACACCCCACAGAGCTAGCAGCTACCTAGCTTGGATTGCTTGCTTGCCGCTATCACGACATGTCTGTTCTGTCCATCTGTCTGTCCGCACATCGACCTCAGGTTCGTTTCCGTCTCCCTGTAGATATCACTCTGTAGGCAGGTATGTAAAGTAGAGTCGTGTACTTTAAGTGACTATGTAGCCACAAATTTACTCAACCCCCCAGCTCCAGCCCTCGCCCCCAGCCGTTTTGCTCATTTGGCTCGTTTTGTGGAACGGCTCGGGGAGAACTGTAACAGTTCACAGCTCACAAATATATTATTTTATGAGGAGGAAAGAGATATGTACCTGCTAGGCCTACAGACTAATTGGAGTACTACAGTAGCTACATTTTACTTTGTACCTACCACCCATCGAACTGCAACCGATCATTTTAATCTTGGTCAATGCTAGAAGAAGCAGGCAGGTTTAACCGTCGAACTATATCGGAACCCTCTTGTTATCGATACATGAGTGTTTGAGATTTCCACTCAAAACGAGCAGGTAAAATGGAGGTTGGACATTTTTTAATTACTGAGCTGCTTGCTGCTCCCGGGGTTCGAGAATTAGCTGCTGCTGAGCCGGAACGAAACGTCGACAGTGTATAATATTATTAAAATAACTGCTTAACGTATATAACGGCGGTGGGTCTTATTTTAGCCAAGTATTTAAGTGAAGTGCCCTTTATTATTTTTGTTTTAAAGATCAAGCATTAGCATCAGCATCAGCAGCACGGTCGCGGCGTATTCCAAGGGGGGAATTCGAAAAGAAAGAAAAAAACCTGTCTTTGAGTGAGAGGTTCCGCAAATCAGTGGAGTAGTACATAACTTACCACAGATATAGATAGACACCACCGCGCGCGAGCGCGAGCGCGAGAGAGAGAGCAGCGATGTTATCTAATTCAGCCTGCAAATAAAGAAAACCGCATCATCCTCCCTCCACCCACCGGACCCCGGAAAGTGCACATAGGGCTCAGCAGCATACCTGCAAAACCCGGCACTTCTACTGGCTGGGGACGTTTGAGGTCATGGTCATACAGGGCAGGATCACGTATGCTGCAAACAAGCAAGCCGGTATGAAGTAGGAGGAGGAAAGAATGATAGTGATAGTGATAATAATAAAAAGCCTGGTTTCGAAAGCGTCTGACGTTAATTATTCAGTGTATTTATACGGTACTGTATGTAGGTTGATAGACGATGTAGGTAATAATATGTGTGATTATCTTTATCGTATTTTTTAAAGTGTCGCCTGTCACTCTTGCCTGGCTGCCTGCCTGATTCAACAGTTAACGATAGGTGAGAGAGCTCAGGCTTAGGCTCAGGCTCAGTCAGGCTCGCAAGTGCCCAAATGACCGCGCAGGCCCGCATCTAAACGAGCCTGTTATTCTCAAGCCTAAGGCTCTCGATCGATAAAGGCACGGGCATAACCTATAGATGAATCGGCAGGCAACAAAGAGACTGGTGAGTGAGTGAGTGTATGAGTGAATGTCTCGATGTATTAAACAGCATAACAACAATAATAGCAAAAGCCGTGGCCATGATTGGCCAAGCTGGACATCATCGTGACCGGGCCTCCGTCTAGAGTAAAGAGCTTACTGTCGTTATTTGTATGTATGTGCTACGTACTGTAGTTACGTACAGACGGGCCATTTCCAATAGGTATCCTCATCATGAGCGCTCATGTTTCTCTGCTCTGTATGTAACCCCCCTGTCCACCTGTCCTACCAGCTTTGTATGCGGCGGGCCAAAACCGATCATGGCCGACAGGTAGGTATTCTCCGCCGAAGTTTCCACGCGGT